AGGAGCGTTCATTCTGGGTTGCAGGGACACTGACAGCTTGTCACACTAACAGAATGGCTGTCACATCAAGCTATGGATGGCATTCCCACATCGTGTTAAAACAGGTTGCAAGTCAATTTGACATAAATAAAATAAAATTTGGCCTAAATACATTTTTTTATATGATGTGCTTTTAAAAATGAGTCAGTTATGAGTTATGTGATACAAATTGGGAGTATGCTTTCTTGTTTATTTTATATATTATTATTGACATGTTGTTGTCTATAGGAGGTGGTTTACAATACATTTAACTAAGAATTTATATAATACATATCCTTCCAGAACATTTTGTTACATTTCTCCATCTCACTAGTTCCAAATAGTGGATTAATAACATTTCAATTATTACGGACAGTCTTTTCTAGACTGGGTTGCCTTATTATTCCTAAATATGTAAGATGGGAAACAAGAAAACATATCTGGAAGCTCATCTTTTGCAGCAGAGTTCAGCAGAAGTAAGGAAGATGTGCTAATTATTATTTTATAAGAGAATCTCTCACATCTTGTGAAAAAACAACATTTTGTCTGCATATGAGGACTATTTTTTAATCGACGCATTTCAGTTTAATTAACTGAGACTGTCCTTGGATTTTTTTGATGCCAAAGGCTCAAAAGTTAAAAGAAAACCATCGCTGAGTAGGTTCCTAGGTACCTGATGTTAATATAAAAGGAAGGGACACATTGTTACTCGTAATGAAAGAAACATAATGTGGTTTATAAAAAGACACCAATAACAATACTGCTAAGCACTTTCCAGACATAACAATACTCCAACTGGTTGATTGCAGTTTCACCCTGTTGACATAGCTCCAGATATAGTTCTAAGTATATCAAGCAGAGGGTGTGTACTATCTGGAGCTACCCAACTCTTAAAGCTTGATCAGGGGGAAGTAGTTCAAAAAAAGCAATTCCTCCAACCGAGATGCTTGGAGTAAAACATGAATAATGTAATTTATTAATGATAGTCGTGGATTCCCTTTTATTTGCAAAAGCTACTGTACAAACCATCACATAGTGCTAAGAGAGAAAGGGGCAAAGCTCATGAATTAAACATGTAAAGAAAAAAGCTTGTGGATGCTGGAGATGAAAGATACACTTGTGACCTTGTGTAACAGCAGACACACCACTAACACAGCAGACCTCTGTTCACAAGCTATCTGATTGGCCCAGGATTAAACAGCATGCAGTGGCAGGGGTCCTGCAAAAACTCCCCGACAGGAAGGAGAAGGAAAGCTCGTCCTTATCACGTCTGCAGTTGGCCTTTGGGTTTGCAAGGGTGCCAGATAATGTCTCGTCCAATCTCCGGCAGTTACTCTGGGTGACACAGGCCAGGCCTTTGCTCTGTCACGAGCTAGCTTGTTGTCAACCGTAGAAAATACCCAGAAACCCTCCCTCAACAAAACATTGCAGTTTTTATGTTGCAATTAAACCGTATATCCACAATCAATGGAATAGATTAAGCAAAAATAGCTGCACTAACTTGGCTTTGATGTATTTTAGGCTTTTTGGTGTTTATCTTGCAGTTTTATAATACATTATATAGCTTGGTCGGTTTTCTATGGACAAAAATACAAAAAGTAGAATATAATACACATTAAGAGACAACAGATATACCAAATAACAAATACAAACAGTAAAACGTTTTTGATATTTCAAAAGAGCCAGTGAAGTTCTGAAATGTGATCATCTCCAGAGATACAGCTGAGCCTCAAAGAACACGGATGACAATCATTATTTATTTAGCAGATATTTAGCTCTTCTCCTTGAGATCTCATCTTCAGATATCACTAGCGTGTTTTGATTATCTGAAGCCATCATGGATGTTATCTTGTTTTCCAAATGTATTCACTGCTTGTATCTTCCAGCTGAGGCCTGCTTGTTGTTAGGCAGAGCTGGGACGTTACATTAAACCTACAGGATGAAGATAAAAACATGAATCTCTTTTAATGAATAATTAATTAGTGAAGTACTCATGAATCATGTATAGATTATCTAGCGCATATTTTATTAATAGAATTGTGTTAATTTACTTGTAGAGAATAAAGCAAGGATTAATCTTGGCATTAATATTAATGAGGTGGTGGGAGATGACTGCAGTGTAAAGTGTAACCAACGGATGTTTCCTTCATAAATCCAGCAAACCTAGTCTAATATTGCTTTTGTTTTAAATATAAATACAGAGATAGATAAAGAGATAATCTGCTCAGCATCAACTCTTAAATTCAAATAAAACCAATTACCTTTGTTCTTCTTTATGGGAAAAACGAATCTGTAAGCAACACTACATTATGGGGCATTATGGGAAGGACAGGTGGAAAACGGAAGAAGTTAAGGATGACTTACTGTATTTCCATCTGGTCTAACGGACATCTGGATGCTGAGTAATTTAAACCTCCTCCATGAAGGCCTGCAGCACAGGGACCTCTGTTACGACTGCCCCTGTGCACCCCATTTCAAGCCATTTCCCCCCTCCTTTTTCCTTTTTGATGTTGTCACTCCCAATCTATTGTCGCCCCGACACACAAATGAAAGGCTTGTCCATGTCTGGCAGCTCATTTTGCTGGCAGGTGGCAAACAATTAGACACAGCAAATAGAGGCCGGAAGGGGGGGAGTGACATGAAAAGCATGGAACAAAGTTGTATATGTGGTCAGGAGGGTTTGTGTGAAAGCATTTCAAAAATAATACACTTTGCTGTGGCGACTCATTTCAGGCTGCCAGGTTCCATTAGGGGTGTGAGCGGTGAGGGCGACAGGGCCGGGCACGGTGTGGCGTGAGGCCGCTTCTGTTTAATCTGTCATCAACACCCTGGAGACCCCCACCCTCTCAGCTGTCCTCTCACCACATACTCCTCCATCTCTTCCCCTATTCATCAGGCTCACCTCGGCCCAGCTCAGCTCCGCAGCATGCATACAAAAAGAAAGGAGGCCCCATTGTTCCCCCTGACTCAGTGTGTCCTCTGCTGCCTCTCTGGGGGCTGGCAGTGATTATTCTCTCTCTCTCTATCTCTCTCTCTCTCTCTCTCTACCTAAACACAGGAGAAACTGGATGAGTTTCTGTTTTATGATAAACCAACTCAAATTACTTTCAGCAAAAAATGTGATCTTCCAAACGTTATCAACCATAGGAGACAGGGATCAGGGGCTTGAAGCTTGAAATCCCTGCAGGAACAGGTTTGTAAACTTTCAAATCCAGACAGATTACTGTGTGGGTTTATCTAATCCAGGAACGTAAATAAACCGCAGCAGTGCCACAATGCTTCAGAGACCTTTTCAAACACAGGAATTCCTTGCCGTGGGGGATGAATACAATATAAGTGGCCTGAAATGAATAATGTGTAGCATGCTATTTAGGAGCCATTAGTGGTATTCTGGATTACTTAAATAAACCCAGAGGATTATCATCAGCATTTTACACTCACTTGAGTGATAGCATGCACACACACAGACAGACACACACATGAAATCAAAGCTTTCCTCAGAGAAATATAAACATCATAGAATGATAGTCAAACATTTAATAATTACTTGTCTTGTTTTATGTCATCTAGGTCTGTGTTTGGTTTTGTTAAAGATAGTCTCACAGATTAAGAACAATAAATGTCTTTATAAATGTCATGTTCTTATATGTTGTATGTGAGGGACTGCGGATGGAAATTAGCTCAAAGCTAAAATCCGGCATATTTACACTTGAAGCATTATTTGTCTTAAGTGTTCATTAATGTGCATTGTCCCTGTTCAAATGAACGATTAAATGAAAATAAATGAAATAAAACACTCAAGTATAAAAAATGTTTTGTCTAAACTGGATTCAACATACATATATTATGACTTTGAACTGTGGCTTAATCAGGCTTAATTTATCTACACCTCCAGCAGAGGGGGGGAGGGTCCTCACTGTTGCAGAAAGACCTCCTCTTGAATAGAAGTCTACAAGAAAATGACCATCACTAGATTATTGTGATTTGGATTGAAAACATTTATTCTTTTATTGTGTGTTTTTTTATCATTAAAGTTGTTACAATTGTGTCGCCTAAGATGTATTTTCAGGATTTGGTTGTATTTAGCATTTCTGGTTGCAAGTAAAAAAACGAGGACGGTCAAAAAGCCAAACCTCGAAACCATTGTTGATGACGTCACGTCCCCCAATGGTTCATCATTAAAAATAACTAAACGAGGCATAAAGTTAGTTTAGTTATTTTTAATGCAGAATACATATTTACTGTGATGAATTTGTAAACTAAAGGGATTGTGTTAATTAAGTCTCATTCAAAAAATGTACTATTAACCAATGGGATTCTGGAAATAAACTGAAAAGCAAAAGCTAAGGCATGAAAAGGGTCGATGTACAGTCTACATTAGGGGTGTCAAACTCAAGGCCAGGGGGCCAAATCCGGCCCGTGACTTCATTGTATGTGGCCCACAAGAGCTTGCAAAGAATATAATATGTTTATTATACGGTTACATGCCGATTTACAGAGGCACGTTGCCCATAAACTACATGTCCCACAATGCATCTCAAATTTGACTTTTTTCTCAGAATTTGACTTTTTTTCTTCAAAATATGCATTTCTTCTTAGAATTTGACTTTTTCTCAGATTCTGACTTTTTTTTTAAATGTCAGTTATTCTTTTTTTATTTGGACTTTTTTTTCCAGAATTTGGCTTTTCTTTTTAAATCATTTTTGTGACATTCTCACTGAAGTTATTACCCTATCCGATGATAATCCAATGCAGAGGCAATCATGTAATATAATACATTATTTTATATATATTAAATATTTATATATGTATGTTTATATAGTCTTGTAAACTGGCCCTTTGAGTGCAACCATGATGCTAATGTGGCCCGAGATGAAATTGAGTTTGACACCCCTGGTCTACATGATCTTTAGAATATGGCTAAAACTCCTCCAAATGTGATTTTGGGCACTAGAGACCACCAAACACTGACACTTCCTCACCTGTCAAAGGAGTGGAACTGCATGGGCAGCATGGCTTGGGCCTGGGGGTTTGCAGCAGGGTCCGGGTAGGACAGGGGCTCCAGCCCAGCCTCCAGGCCCTCAACTGGAGAAGCCACCAGGCTTTTCAGAATCTCCTTCACATTGATGCCCTTTTTGGGCTGGCTAATGCTGATGATGGAGGAGGGGGGTTTCAGCAGCGTTTCAGAGTCAGACAGACTCTCCTGAGACCTCTTCACCTCTGAGGACAGGGTAGATATGAGCACTCCTGTGCTGTGCTCCAGATCAGAGCCGTTAGTGATGCTGGCTACCTGCTCCTCTCCGATACCAGAGTCTGTGTGGGGAAGGGAGCTCTCCAGGTGGAGGTCTGATTGTGCAAGGTGGTCTTTACTGCTGTCAAATGCTAGGGGGGTTTCTGTGGAACACACACACACACACACACACACACACACACATAAATAACTTTATTACAAATGTTCATTTTCTTTATCATTTTTAATTGATTAATCATTTAGTAAAACATTTCAAATTGTTGTTTTATCAACAGTCCAATAACCTAAACTCATAAAATGTACAATGATTTCATACAGATCCTCAGATTTGATGCTTTTACTGCTTTAGTGAGTTTAGGGATTAACGTAGTCACTAATTAAATCATCTCTTAATTCCTGTGCAATATGTATGTTAACATATTGTGTACCTTTTTTATTATAATTTTTTGATGCATGCTTCTTAGGTAACATTAAGCTGTCTTTGGCTCTTTTCTGCTGTAACAATTGAAATGTCCACTCTGTGGGACTAATAAAGGTATTCTGATTCTGATTACTCATATTGGTAATAGATATTCTTATTATATGCCATGAGAAGTAAGATAGAGATTAGAAACCAGTAAACTAATGCCAACGAATAAAACTTTATTCCAGCGCTAGCTTTATATTACCTAGCCAAGAGGTGATTTAGCATGTATAGAACGAGCCATGTGCCCACGCAGCTTCTTAGATCTCTCTCCAGAAGCTCTGATCCTCTAGAGATTATCTCTCTGTTATTCTCCTTCTATGCTAATAAAACATAAATCCTTTTATATCTTTATCTTCCTCATGCCTTAAGCCCTGGAAGGCCTTCTATTTAAAAAAGCTTTGAAACGCTGATGCAGGAGTCAGCTGCTCTATTCTTCTGCACACCACACCCTTCTATGTACATGATATGTTGACTGTGAATCTGTAGCATTCTGTCTCTTCATATGTTGAAACTGCATTAACTATAAAGCAAACAACTGTTGTCTTTTTCTCCCAGAAACCTGCAGAAGTTCCTTTGTAGTCTGACTTTGGTTAACTTTAACTCATTGGGTACCTACAGTAGATGCAAGGCCAGCTGTATTAATATTCATCACATGCTCTGTAATGAGGTCAACAGGGCCTGATTTAGCTAGCAAGTCGTCTGGCTTCCTGGTCCATCACACAATCGTCTGCCACATGCCGCCTGGAAAATTCCCCTATTTTTCTGGTGAAATGTATGAAGGCGTCAGTGTGCTTCTCTCCTTCCAGCAACCTCTATGATCCCATTCTCCTCTGGTGGATTGCTTGCCTAATGGGCACTGACAGATGGGGCTGAAAATAGCAAGCCTGGCTCCACTGCCCCAAAAGCCCACAGTTGGCCAGCATGCTGCCGCTTTCCCATCTCTCATCTTCTCTGTCTTTGTTCTCCATGTGTTCCGGGCACTTCAAATTACACTTTCATATTTCCTTTGGCCTCTCTCCTCTTCCTCTTGTTTCTTTGATTCGCTTCACCCTTTGTCTGAATGGAAGTTGATAAAGTATGCTCACTCGAGCATCTCATAATAGCAAGTTGGCACTGCAGCAGTCATTGAGTTAAACCTTTTTGGTTTCCTTTCATGTGGCTTAATGTATGATTTATGACCTGAGGCATATATTACCTTTGGTTTCACGGAGAACGATGATGCCTTTTCAAGTTCATAACTAGCATCACCAGCCTCAGCTTCCATATTTAATTCTGTGCAGTGCAATTAGCAGAGCTCATGAATTAATCATAGGTGAGCCAGTGGAGTGCAGGCAGGATATTCCTGCTATTTTACTGAATGAGCTCTGAGCTCTGGCAGCAATGCATTAGAGAGGAACGTGGACACTCACCATTCATTTATATCAGACAAAGTCACAGACAAGATTTATGAGCAGGAAGAATGGATGTAAGAAAGGAGGGCACAGCTGTCAGCACCTGTGCTGGTTGGTGAGTTGATCTCCTGACGCATGCTGCGACCTGATTGGCTTATTCTGGCCGTCTCGCGTTGGGGCTCCAGGATGTCGCGGTACTTGGAGACCATCAGGACAGAGATGAAGTATACCACAGCTAAAGCCAGGAACTGGGCTTGCTTACTGTCATCCTGCAGAGAGGGATCACAAAACGGTGATGTCACTTTCTATTCAGATGACCTTATTTTACACAACCCATTGCTGTGGCCTGAAATGCTTTCTCTGTGCACCCTGCATAAAGAAGGGAAACACATTCAAAGATCTGCCATCATTCTCAATACATTCTTTGAAATGACACTTTGTGTTTTACCTGATGATTTGCCAATTTGTCTGTCAAAAAATAAAAATCCTATTTTTATCTACTACTTGCAGCCAAGTCAGGGTCATACCGTGCATATCCACACACACACACACACACACACACACACACACACACACACACACACACACACACACACACACACACACACACACACACACACACACACACACAGAGGAGCACTCACCACATCACGGAAGACCACAGCGCGAAGCCGATTGATGTCCACATCCTGCAGGAGGCGATCAGGGTCCTAGATGGGAGACAGGTTACTAGGGTTACTCTATGGCTGTCTAAAGCAGAAAGACAACACAATATGACATGCTACTTTGTTTAGCTTATGTATTTCTATTATTTTTCTTTGGAAGAGTTCAGAATATTGTACATTTGTAACCAAAATATCTGCCGACCTTTGTATGTATGTATGTAAGAGATGTTTAGAATAGGAGAGGTTGTGTAGAATCAGTGCAGGTCTAATGTTTCCCATGGGGCAAAGTGTTTAGGTGTAAATGGATTTTTTTTTGGGCACAGATACCAAACATCCTACCTTGTTGCAAGTCATAGCGTTCTGCAGGATTTCCTGAGTCTTGTTGTTGTGAATGGAAGACTTATTTCCCCTGTCTCTGTGTCTCTGCCTGCATTCGAGACAGTTCCTAACAGCCACACAACACACTGCACGTACACAAACACACACACACACACCCACACAGCATGCAAATCAGCTGTCATTTAAGAGTTAAATGGTAATTAAATGTTGATAAGATGCATGCCTTCTTGAAATGAATCAGTTATCTCTGATGATTATTTGTCTCCTGCTGCTGGGACAGAGACAAGGAGTTCAATCAGCAGCCAGACTGATTTCACACCAAAGCTAGTGACGAGGAATCGTATGTTTGCAAGAAGGACACTGAAGTCTGACGGCTATTTCCCCAACCCCCAGAGCACAACTTGAGTCAACAATCCGGCAAACACTCGGGCTCACACGCGCACACACACACACACACACACACACACACACACACACACACAGCCACGGGCACAAACAGATATAGACCATTGTCACGCAAACAGACAAAAGAGACATACATTCACACATTTCCTATGATCCAAAATTATGATCCTGTTAGTTATTTTTTGCTGCATTAAAACCCTGCACATTTTCCAATTTAGTAAACTATTATCAGAGCACTCCTAAATTAATTAGCTTTGCTGATCAAACAGAGGATTTTCGGGGATTAGAGGAATTATTAGTGTGTGAAGAGAATACTGTCTTGGCATTTTCTAGCTCATCAATTTTCCAGTGTGACAGGAAAAATATGGACTCCACCTTACAAAACCGCATACAGAGATACTGTTAGGGTTTTACTGTCTCACTGCACTGGCTATCATTCACATCGGCAGCGACAAACATCCAATCATGATCTCACCAAGTCTGAGGCACTGACGCATCAGGCCGCCGGAGGACATGTTCTTCTCCGCCTCGATCTCACTGAAGTTCAGGGAGCTGGAGAAAACCAACACGTCTACCATCACCATGAGACGGGACAGGAAAGTGATGGCCGTCTCAGAGGACATGCCCTGTGTTGCCTCGATGTTCTCCAACTCCGTCTTGCACAAGCAACAAGGAAGACACAAGTTAGATAAAACATGTTTTAAATATCATCTCTACCACGTTCATCTCTTGTTGTATCACAGATAGACACAGTGGTGGGTGCTGCTGTATTCAGGACAGTCAGTCGGTAAAAGGTCAGGAAGAGGGCAGCAGGGGTCATCGTTGTTACCTTAGAGTGAGTATAGGTTCTAGTCTCTGAACAAGAGGAGATTATATTTAAAATTGTTTAAATTGGTGAAGAGTTTAATATATCACTCAAACCACTAGATACAATATCAAAGCACTTCCATCACTGCCAAATAAAAAAAAAACATTTGAAGTTAGGATGACCAAATAGAATAATCCTAATAGTGCTTTTTATACAAATTCATCCATGATTTAGCTCAACCACCACTTGTAGCCTATAACCATTATTATGTATGTTAATAGGGGGTGTTATAAAATAAATCTCAAAATACCATAAAAAAAGCATTATGCTTCATCTGGCTTTTTGATGATTGAACTGGGTATGTTTTTTATTTCCTTTTTTCAAAAATAAATGTGATAAATCATAGTCCAGATGACCAATATAGATACTTTTGTATTAGCTCTTATTTTCTTCGTGTTAACATGGGGAGTTTTTCTTAGGATATTTTGTGAGAAGGTTGCTGATTGAAATACACCAGAGGGATAGTACATGATCTATTTAATGAATATTTAGCACAAAACTGTTGTGGATTCATAATTAAAGTAATTTAAAGATAGAAATGTAATAGCTAAAATTATAACCATGGCACTCCAGACAATGTGGCACTGACTAAATAAACAAATTAGGATAATTAAAATCTATTTTAGTTTAAGACTGCAATTTATATTTGATAATTACAGAGGATCAATAAAACAATCATAAATGACACACATGGAGGTTCATTACAACATGTTTATAATGTCCTCAACATTACTGTGACAGAGTTAAGATGAGCCAAAAGGGGAGCCCCAAACACAACACATATGAGTCATAAAGCTCCAAAAGTGTATATTAAACCACCACTAGATGGCAGTATCCCCCCACAGAGAAGACAGTGAGGTGCACTTACAGTGGGAGAGGTTGCCGCTGAGAGAAGGGGTAAGATCCCTCCACAGGCGATTATGATGTTGTCTACCATTTGTGAGATGAGGTGGATGGTGTTGTGGACAAAAATAATGTTCTCATTGCTGTTAACAAAGTCCATGACAGATTTGGTGGAGTGGCTGTAGGAGTAGACGGGAGAATACAATAGGGTTATTATGGGAAAAAGCATTTTATTTCTAATTGTATAAAACATATGGCAATTTTACTGTGCAATACACTAAACCCGTTCATAGGCAGCCAGCAATACAATGATATGTTGCCTCTGATATGGAAGGGTAATCATTGTCGCACTACAAGCATCATGCTCACCCTCCCTTTCAAGCGCACATAAAGCGATTCACACACCTCCTCCAGACATGGACGTCACTCTCCAGCGCAAACAGCAGGTCGGTGAGCAGTCTCTGGTGCATGGCTGACCATTTGAACTCTGGGATGCGGAACATGGTAGTGCGTGGGCCGGGGCTGAACTGCCGCCGCTGCTCCTCTGTTAGGGGCGCCCCCCTGAAGCCAATGTCCGCACATAGGTCCCTGTCCATCGAAGAGGCAAGACGGCCATGTAGACTCTGATGGGAGACAACAATCAATAACAAACTTTTAATTAGGCATTGCATAAACAAACACGGTCCATCATGAGAACAGAAGAGTAGCAAATCCTATTCTCCTCTAAAGATCAATAGTGCAACCCTAATGAGATATAATGCTATTGTCATACTAATCATTATTTATGATGAATTGCCAAATTAAAGTGATAACCTCTGTGTGCCTGTGGTTGAAGAAAAAAACATAACAAGCTTATTAAAACATCCAGGTATGCGTTGAATGAGTCAGCAAGTTGATGCCAACAAAGCACGATAAGAACATGAGCAATCAGCAATAGCGAACAAAAGGTTTAAAAATAATCCCTGCCTCCCAATGGCCCTCCATCCCAGTCAGGTCAAAGAGCATGACCTCTGAGAAAGAGCTCAGCTCATAGGAGAGGAGGGGAACAAGGAACAAATCCCAGGACATTGTTGCAGAATAATGCTTTGTCTATTTTCTCTCCTCCTGTTAGATCAGCCAACTATTCCAGCAGCCCACTTTCCTGAGTCTCAGAGGGATGACTCGTGATATGCACCAGGCCATCCTGTCCCCATTACAACCAGAGCTGAGGAAGGGAATTATCTCAATGGGTCAGATGAAATGAAACTGTTCACAAAAGGCATCCTGACAATGGCAAACATTCTCCCTCCTTGCTTTCCACTCTTCGACCCCGACACTGCATGTGTTCATGGTCGTCTGTTGTTCTATTTCCCTCTGGCAAAGCTTCGCAGGCATTTTGAATCTGAACTCAGTGAACTTGTGCTTTTTCAGAACATTTGAAAACTTGCCTTTTTCTGTTGGATTGTACTGTTGATTCCATTTTAATGAATGAACTCTGTGATAAATAATCAGACCGACCTGTGTGGTGGCTGTCGTCTGAATCTTCCTCGCATCCTTGTCTCTGCTGTTGTGGGATTTCTCTGTGTCCGAAGTGTTGCTTGTTGTATCTGCTGCACTGCTGGTTTTAAAAATGGAGGAGTTTCTTTCAGTTTCTGCTCCATCTGTACCTTCAGTGACCTCTGGGCTTTTGGAAGAGGCTTCATTCTCAGAGCCAGTCACAGGGCTGATGCCCTCGATGGCTGCCTGTAGTTCAAACTCATCGTTCTCCAGGATGCTGGGTAAGGAGCCAAGCTCAGAGCGGCCTGTCATGTGGGCAAGAAGGCCCAGCTCATCACTGGCACTGGTGTGGACTCTGGGCTGTGTGCTTGGCAAGACCAGAGGCTCAGCTGTACTCAGATCAGGCAGAAGCTTGTCTTCCATGCTGCCTGCCACCTTGCCAAACAGAAAGTTGCTGTGAGGGATACTGTCCTTGTCATCATCTAGAGTAATGAGGGGGTGTGCATTGTGGTCATCCACGCTGCCCCTGAGCTTTTTTGCAGCAGCACAATAAACACTATCTAACAGAGAATCCACTTCCACCAGTGCTCCATTCTCAGATACTCCCAGAGTTTCTATATCATCTAGCTTTACCTCTGTAGCCTCCACCTTCTCAGCCTTGATGTCCACCAGAAGGTCATGAACACCGACGCTGACTCCATCTACCATACCCTCCTCATGCCCCTTCCCCTCAGCCAGCAGTATGCGAGAGTCCACACTCTCATAGTCCTTCTCACTCTCAGGTGTATTGGAGTTATCGTCCATTTCTCTGATCTCAACAACACCATTGATGCCAGAAGCCTGTGCAGATAGACCAGAGATGGTGCTGACAAAGCCCTTCTTTCCTTTTTTTATATTCTCCTCCTCCTGACGCTGGTACTCTTCATACATCTTAGCCAAGTACTCTTTATGGGCCTCGTATGTCACCTAAAAAAAGAGAAATAGCACAGGTAATGTTAGCCGCACACATTTATGATGCAAACGACTGTAAAGATCGTTTTTGAAGAACCTCAAGAGCTAGGTTAATATAGATAATGTCTGCCTCTACAGCAGAGGTCAGTGTTTCCTCTTTGCTGCACAGTACAATACTGACCTTAGAGTGGGCTATAGAGAGCGTGTCCACCCACACACGCCATCCTCCCCACTCATACTTGATGGCATGATACAGTAGAATACGGAATATGTTGTAGACCATCTCAGTGATCTTCTGCTCGTCAGAGTTCTTAGGGTTGATGAAGCAGAGAGAAAACATCCAGTCCTGCCATACGGAGCACTGAAGCAGGCACCTGCAACACACACATCATTAAGGACATAAATACAATGCCAGATGTAAACCAGATACAATCAGTTTCAGTTATTTAAGTAAACTGTGATCCTCTTGTTTATAGCAAGTTTAATATGTTTCATTGATGTTGGTGGTAAATGGATCATTTCTCAGGACATTTTAGTTTTTGTAGTCAAACACCACCACTGTCTAACTGCAAAGATAGATTTTGATTGGCAACATTTAATCGGCAAAGCTTTATTTTACAATTGGCTTTCGACAACAAGAAGACCTTATGAATAGGGAGTCATTATAAGTCTGCATTAAATCCTCCCTTACATTCTCTACATGTAATAGGAAGGCATAAATACCAGTGAGTATATGTGTGAGTTGTTCTGGTTATTCATATTAAATAGTTAGACTTGTTATTTTAAGCTAATTACAGTGTTGATAAAGGTCAGTGGTTTCCAAAGACTCCTAATTGCATTAGTAATATGTCTTAAAGAGAGTGTGTGTAGGAGTGGTCGGGTGGTTAGAGGGAAAAAAAGACAGAAAGCAGGAATGAACAACTGTCAGTCACAGAAGCATCTGCTGGAAATCAGGATTATGTCTGAGAATGATTCTGCACCAATGTGAGCATCCCTACATGAGTCTCTTAAAAAATTATACAAGGCGGACCAAAATGTTTCTTTACTTGATACATTAAATAGCAAGATAATACACGGAACGGTCGAGTAAAATGTGATTTAAGTTCTGCTCACCGTCTGTTCTCTCTGCTGTTACTAAACAGTTTGATCATGTCTGAAAGGAAGAGCCTCCGAACTTCCATCAGCTCGGTACTGGGGGCGGAGTTCTTCAATAGGGTGGCTACCACCTTGAGAATCACTGAAATCACATTTATGCAAACACAAATACACACACACACACACACACACACACACACACACACACACACACACACACACACATATTGTCAGTTATTCCAGAGAACAGAGTGCTTTAGAGAGTATAAAACTCAATGTGACACATAACAGGCTTACTTGGGTTCTGAATCTTGATGGAGGAGTCGGGCTCGGGATGAGGTTTGTGAACTACCTGTGTGCACACCTGCTCTGTCAGAATCTGGTTCGGGAAGAGGTGAGAAGACATAAGTCCCACATTCACAGTAAAACAATGGTGAACGGATGTTGGGCCATTTGAGAGGAGAATGTTGGGTTACCTCGTACAGAGTGTTGTAGACCGTCACCGACACAGTGTTGGTGTGCACCATGAGCCTCTCTCCCAGCAGAGTGAAGAGGCTGTGTGTGTGCATGATCTCCACCTTCCTCCTGTGGATAAATACACACACATGACGTTAAAGTGGCTTGTTTAGAGCTCTCTAAGTCTCTGAAAGGATCAGTGAGTGTCGTCAGCTTGCCTCCCTGTCCTCACCCTCAGGGAGTCGAGCTCTCTAGACGAGTGTCAAGAAGTGCCTGCTGCCATGAATTGGGGGAATTTGGTTGGAGGTGTGTAGGATAACGAAGTTAACCTGTCACTAGGAAAGGCTCTAAGATACAATAAAGGCATATCATAGGTGAAGAGGTTCAACTGTGACACATTTCAAACACACACACAGTCAGCATAATGACTGGTGTCACGATGCTAAGCCTAGGCTGCCAATGCCTCAGGACGAGTTGGGACCTAAGTCAATGTTTTCGTTTTCTGCTGCAGAGGCTGGCAAATTGGAAACTTAAGAGGAGCATTTCTCTCAACCGTATGAATATTACAAATGTTTTGGGAGAAAAGGGCAAACCGATGATTCATAGCCAGCTTCTATAAGTGTAGCCTAGACCATATACCTTTTTTTGAGGATACTCTTCAGAGTTAAGACAATGTTAATGAAAATACAAATATATAAACTAAACTAAAATAATAGAGTTATAAGGAAATGCAGAAAGAAGCATATTTTCTAAAATCACAAAACATAATGTAATATTATTTAATATTTATTACGCTTTGTCTTCAAGTTTACTTTAAGGTGGTTGAATATATGAAATATTAATAAAGAAGTTTGAGCAAAGCTTAACTCATATAGCCTCTCTCATGCTTTTTCTGGTACTTTTTAGCACTGCTAAACATCACCTTACATCACTGAACTAATACAAAAAAAATTAAATTACCAAAAGTAATATCAACATAGCACTGAAGATACCCATTTCATTGTTAATAAGTTGCACTGGCTCTCATAGTGAGGAGGTTGTGCTTTAAAATGTATGAAAGCTGTTAAAGTGAGGGTTGAAGGCAGGCTTTCATGGAGCCCCTCATGTCCCCTGAGGACAGAGGCCCTTCTCTTGTGCCTGGGGCGGTCTAGTATGGGATTAACCCTCCTGTATACTCTCCATCCATCCCTGCATCCCACATGTTGAATCATCATTAAGCATTTCCTCTTCTGTCCAATGTGCAGCAAACAGCAGATTTGTAAGAAGTATATTAATAATGTCACGCTGTGGAACAATAACTTGGGCCTTTTCCACTGTTCTCTTATGTGATTTAATGCATACAGGGCATGAAGCCATGAATTATCGCCTGGATGTAAAGCTTGATTTATCTACAGTTTCACACCTATCGTAATGTTGTTTATTTGAAAATTGCTGGTTAAACAGACAACAATGGCGCAACAAAAGCAGTAAAAAACAAGATAGACATGTAACAGACTGCCATTTTCTAAACATGACACATCATTCATCTTTTGACTTTTTATTATGAAAACCACTTATGAGTGTGTAATTACACAGCTACTGCACAGCTATTGAAATGGATGACTTACTTGTGGCCTAAATGCTTGAGGAAGTAGCCAAGGACTTTGAGGGATTGCACTCGAATGCTTTCACTCTTCGAGGCCATGAGCTTGTAGATTACTCTGAAATAGACACAAGCAGCGAGAGCTGGCAACAGCACACTGTCTGGACAGAATACAATATAACACTGATGATGAAAAGGCCCTCCACTGGTTAGCTGACAACCAATTTCCTTCAGAGTGAATTTACATTAACATCGAATGAATGTCCTTATGAAGGCAGCAGCCTTTCCGCAATGAATAGAACTCACAAGTAGAGCTACACAGTGCGCATTTATATTTTATAGGATGACATGGGGTTAGTTTGATCATCTGTGACATATAGGGATATCAATATGTTAATATTGTTGCTTTCCATGCAGAGGGTTTTTTCCCTTTCGTTGAACTTGTGAATTATTCATGCATCACGTAGACACGTGGCAACAGCACTGGTGTTAGGTGTTCAGCTTTATTTTGGGAAATCACCTCTTCATTTGGTGCTTAAATAGAAAAGGGATTGAGTCTTCCCCTGGGAGGCTTACCGTATTCCATTTCTCTGGTCAAAGGCAGGGATCATGGAGGCTGGGTGCTCAGACATGAGGGCTACCACCAGCTGCAACACATCATGCAGATTCTCATCCTGCAGACAATCCAGGAGAGGAAGACAATGAGGGATAGAACAATATAAAAGGGGGCAGGAGAAGAAACAGAATCATGTGTTTGTTCTTTGTTCACACTGTAAATGCAACTGTGGCAAAGACACAGTGCATGTGCCAGGCAATTGTAGAATACACCTGGGCCCCCGGTACACCTTCCAACAGTCAAGGAGCCGTGGCTGGTTATTGCACAATGGAAAATATGTTGAATGATGCATTCATCTTGCTGCTAAGTTTAAATGCTAAGGAAAAAAGAATTCCCAGAGAAATATTGCTGATAATAAAATGCGACCTTGCGGTTTAGTGCAGCAGTAAAGTGGCCCACTGACATACATTGAATTCACTAGGTGCACATAGACTCCTGTACCTCGTGCATTGTTAACAAATAGTTCAGGATGCTCTGCAGCTCATCCTCCTTCACACCTCGATCCTGAAAGAAGAAAAACACAGAAAAACAAGTTGAATCTTCTTCCTTGTTTTCTATGTTGTAAAGTTAAAAATTAGATACTTGAAACTATACAAGCACATTAAGTGTTCTGGCCTCCTGATTTTTCATTTATGGGCTTAGTGTGGGTGTGTGATTTGTTTTTTCTACAACCAAACAGATTGAAAAGCCAGATAACTTGCTTGCTTGGTTTGGTGACAGTATGTACACGCCAAGTCGGTTTTCTGTCCATTCCAATTTTGAATTCCTTTAATTACTGCCTAGAAAACCCTGTTAAACACTCAAACTAGAGAAAAGAGTTCAATATAAAACTTAAGAAAAAGGTCTTACAGGTGACATATGTCTCATATTTTGTTTTGATTAGAATATCATTTATTGTTAGTAATATATATTAAGTACTTCAACTTATTTAGTAAGAAAAACACCAGTCATATTTTGAAATTCAAGTTAAAAGTGATGACTTAAGTTGGTTAACATTGTCATATTGATGGATGGAACCTATTTCAAATAGATAAATGATCAAGAAATGACCAAAACTGAATAATAAATTCATTTCGTGTTTCAGCACAACTGGTTTTATTCCAAGCACATAGGACATAAATAAGAAATAACAGTGTATTTATTGAGGAGCAGCCCAGCAGAACGTCTTAAGGATAACAGGGACGGTTGAAACTCTCCATATTTTCCCTGTGCAGCCAAAATCAAGTTGTGTGATTTTCTGCGAGGCATGAAGACAGGTGGAATATACCTTCAGGATGAGTTGCTTGAGGAAGAGAAGCATGAATGCCCGAAGAGAAACTATTTCTTTTTGGGTCGGCCTCGGACCATCTGTAGTTGGAGAGAGAAGCAATACATCTGAGAAAGTATTGGAACCAAATAAGATATCTTGAAATTGTACAGTCTCGCCTGTGATCTAAAGTACCCTCCTTTTATATATATAGGTTTTTGATAATGACACATTTCTCTTTTTGAGCTGTAAAAACTCAAATACTCGCAGTGGCGAACCGTGTCTATCACAACTGGACCTTCTACTGTAGTAGACACACACACAAAACCACTGAAATACGTAGTGCATGATCCGAGAAGGACAAACAAATCAACGTAACAGTTTAATATTACAGATCAACAACACAGATACGATTCTCATTTATTCATTTTATATACATTTTATTTAATTAAATAGATTTTTTGTTTGTTTTATCTGAGTGTTCCAGGGTATTCTCTGAATGCCTTGAAGGCCCTGACGGTTCGCCACTGCAACACAGTGATATCTTCAAAGTATGTTTTACTTTATCATTAGCTAGGTACTGGTGCACTGGATTTACCCTGAATGTGTGTTTCTTTGTAAACAGAAACATGTGCCTATCAACAATTTGTAGAATATATTTTACATAAATTCAGCATTGGACATTCGCAATTACTCAACCCACATGTATTCATCCTTGAAGTATGTGTTTATCCCTCAAACCCAGGTAGCAACATGGTGCCCAGGCATCCAGCCCAAGGTCACACCTGCCCATCACTCTGGCCAACAGCTCATTAAAAACTACCCAGAATGCCTCTGCCAACTTAAGGTCACTTTGGCTTGCAGAAGTTAGCCTCACATTGCAATCCATCCCTGTCATGAAACTCATTCAACAGTGACGGGCCGAATGCTGTCAGCAGGTGTACGGAAGTCGTGCAAATACAGAAGAATGACAGAATATGACAGACGGCATTGATTACATGTCATATCACAGGGCTGCTTCTGCTGATGCTGTATTGGTGTTGTTTACAAGGCATTTTGACTGGTTCAGATCCTTTTCAATATGCTGATTTTTTCACAAAAAGTGTCTGCAGGTACACTGAGTAAGTACACTAATAGGCTGCAGCAACAAGCACATCAATACAACAGAGAGCTTTTCAGGCACACACACACCAGAAAATGCAGGATATGGCACACATTACTGTACCACTCATAACAATACAAACATGAATCCCCAGATTAGCTGCACTCTCTTTTCAGCACAAAGGCTCTATTCTGGCTGTAAAAGCCAGCACATTTCTATTCAGCCTTTGCAACCAGCCAGGTATAGACACATGGACAACATATTTTTGCATTTGCAGAGGTATTAAATGACTGGGACGAAGAGAGAAGCAAAAGCCTTTCAGGGGAAATGGGTCACTCAATGCCTCTCCTCTCCTCTGATAAACCCTAACCTCCACCTTGTCTGGACAAATGTTCATTTGAAATGGGGACAGGGCCATGATGACAGATACCCCGGCAGCAGACACCTGACCATTCTGCTCGCCCAACCGCAGGTCAACGTAATCAATGATGAGCCCCCCCGAGGTTGCATCCTGACACTGATTAATAGAGAGCGAGAAGAAAACCCAGTGCAGGGACAGAGGCTGAAAGGAAAGGGATGATAAGAACAGTATTACCGCAGCCACTGCATCCAAGTTATTCACAACCAATTATCCTCAGCAGCTCTGCACAGATCTTGTTTCTCACTCCCATATTGCTTTACTTCCCACTTCCCAAGGGCACAACGTGAAAGACTTTATTGAAAAATAACTGATGTCCATGTGATTAATGCAGGAATCTTATTTTGGCTTATAACTGATAATAAAGTCATGGCACACAAAAAAGCATTTGTCCTCTATACTTGCGCAAGCCTTTAAATAGAAAACGTGAGTAATTATGTTTTCAGTCCATGGGTGCTTTTAAATAAACAAAGGCTGATAAAATACTCTAATGCAAAAAGTATTTTTAATCACAGCAGCTTTAATTGGTGTCCAGAATGCATCTCAGGTTGAACTAACATATGCATCGCCTGCTGAAACTCCTCTGTTGTGAGCATTTGGAATATGTTGACTTTAAACTGCAATGACTAAACATTTCATAAGACACAAACAGAGAAAAATGTAAGGGAAAGAATAAATAATGAATGGCCTTTGTCTTTCTCTCAACAACTGTTCAAATGCCCCCTCTAACCTTCATTTGATCCAGTGGATTGCCCAGGTGTAAATCTGAAGCAAGCCAAACCATTCCCTGACTTAAAGGTGGGGTAGGTAAGTTTGAGAAACCGGCTCAACACTTTTTGTTATATTCCATGGAATGCTGTTAACATCCCGATAGCAATGAATATCGGAAGTGCTTTGACAAAAAATCCATTAAAAAATGTCATCTGTGGAAGCCGTAGTACTGTAAAAAGCACGACCAATCATTTGAGCCGGGCCGGCTAAAATGACTGGATGGCCTACCTGCCTGTCAGCCTTCCATCTGTGCACAAACTTATCTCGTGCCGTCATTGGTCATGTGTGCGTTTGTGTGTGTTGGAGGAGGGGCTCTGTAAGGAAGTGGCAGATTTTTTCTCGCTGTGTATTTTCAAATTCTAGCGCACTCGAGCTGGTTTCTCCAAAATTACCTACCCCACCTAAACTCAGTCAATACAACAGATGAATTGATTAGCATGTACAGTAGACACGCACAAAAAACATTCTCAAGCCTCAATCAGCCTCTGAAGCAACTACATGTTTGTCACTGCTCGTTCTTTCCTGAAATGCATCTTGAATGGAACTTGGTGACTGGCCAAACATCTCTGACACCCATCTCATTACTTATTATTTAGTTAAAGAAGCAGGGCATAGACAGAGGCAAAGGGAGAGTGATAGAGATTGAGACACATTATGTGTTGGCTTGTGGCTACATATCACAGACCAGGAGAAATTGACCAATAGGCATCTGGCTGCAGTGTTTCTGTGTAACTGCATGATACATGGCTTTAATTTGATACCACTCTCTATTAAGACCTAGGGAAAGGGAGGTACTTCCAGAAACAGAGTGAGTAGCTGGAGGAGCTCCATTTTAAATGTGTTCTCTGTCTCCCTATAATTGAACACTTCATTATCTGATTGGCTCTCTCCCTTTTTATATGTGTATTTGTTTGGTCGTTTGTCAGTTGAGAAGGACAGAGAGGAAACGTGCCTATACTTGGCTGCATCAGTGGGACCAGACCCACTCTGAAAATTACCCACAGCAGGAAGAGGATACATTTCAAGATATGGAATAGAATTCTTGCCATTTTCCCAGGCCTTTACAATCTGTAGACTTTAACAACAGTCAGCTTCAGTTGCGTTTGAGAGAGGTATATTTTAGGAAGGCTAAACTAGCAAGTTACTTTAAGGAGTGATAATATTGGGCATAGCTAATGTACTGATGGATTACAATATGTGTTTATCTTGTCTTTGAAACTATAAAAAGATGTCTGTGAGTGTGTATTAAATCAAGCGTTTTCATCAAAATACTACAAAAACAGTCTGTGTGTAAATAAAGACATTTCTTGTAACAGCTACAGTATTAACTGTTTTGTTGAGCATTGATTCTTACTTATCCTTTATAAATCTCTAGGTCTTTGAAATCAAATACAAAGTCAATTATTTACTATCAGATAACTACAGTGGTTATATTTGTCTCTGTCTAAACTCTTTTTTGTACCCATCTTAAAGTTGTAGTAAGCCATCATTGGGTGCTGTGTCTCCTGACAGACTTTAATAGTGTTTGTCCTCAAAGCTGCTTCAGAGCAGTGGTTTCTTGCAGTGCACCATGGTCAGTCACCCCAAAACACTTCTTTGTCCAGCACCCAGCCCAGATTTCACATAGAACAAAAGGGTATTTATATCAACATTCCTGCATTTTCTTTTGGTGTTTTTTGTATAACCTCTGTTGATCTCTCCGACGCTCCACGACTAATAAGTCATACAACTATTTGACCTTGTGATGCTCCTATAAAAAGCAGAACTAAACTACATTGACTAATGCTACATAGCAAAAGCTTTTCCCAAACAAGTGATTTTGACACTAAAATATATTATTCAACAGCAGTGAAAGTAAAAGGAAACGTACTAGGAGAGTCAAAAGAATTGGACGTGATAGAAATAAAGTCATGAGAAAAGTCCCCCCCCAGCTAAATATAGCTCATCATCCTAGAGCATGAGCTGTATTTAGGTTGGGCTTTCATCACTTATTAAGTCTTGTAAAGTTTCCTAGCACAGCGTAAGAAGGGATAAGGGACCTGGCACTGTGTAAGTACATGGGATAAGGAACAAATTAAAATCAGGGGGAAACATTGATTGAGGGGCCCATGCACTGACCCAACATTCCAATGTGTGTGCACTGTGCACATATTATCCCAGCTAACCTCACTCTGAAGGTCACCTTCACTATTAGTGGTAAATCAATTAGCATCACTCCCAGCTCTAGCAGATCATAAATCTAGGCCAGGTGCCTTGATGTGGCTTATAAATAGGCTTAAATGCTGCTGCATCCAGCCAACTCTTGCAGTGATAATAAATGTCATGTTCACTTGAGATGAAGATCATTACTGGTACTAACAATGTTGATGGAATTCAAGAAAACAAAAGTTTGGAAGTAATCTTACATGATTGTTCAGTACATCAAGGAGTAGGTTTCATGAGGTGAGGCATACACTGAGGTCTCAGTCAGCGACCATTAGGAAACAACCACTATACTACAACACGGATCGTTTTAGAAAAGATAATGATGAGCAAAAAGGATAAGACAGTTCAAGGACATTTTCGCTTTCAGCACAGCCTGCTTTGTAACATGCTGTTGTCTCATAAAGAGAGGGTACCAGTCACAGCACTGGCCCCGGTTTCAGAGGCCTGACACCCACACCCAGCACCCCAGTGGGATGACAGTATTGATGTGGCGTGTCTGCCTCACTGTCATCTCCTGTGATGGCCATGGTCCTAGCGGCTGTCAGGCATGTGCTTCCATGTGGAGATGAGTCATTTGAAATGTGGGGGAGATGCTGCCATTTCAGGAAGGCACTTTGATAGCAGGCTTTTGACTGCACACAATGATCGTGATTGGTTTCCAATGATTTCCTTTCCAAAAACACTGAGCTTCACTCAGATGAGCCTTCCGATAAATGGGAAACAGTTTATATAGACAAGAACCCAAAACAAATGTAATTCCACACCGAAAAGAAGCAAAAGAACGTAGTTTGAAAGGTAAATATACTCACCGAGACCCTTTGGTGTGATTCCGCTGCTGTCTGCAGGGTTGACGGCCCAGTGGTAATACTTTAGCGTATGCATGAGCTGCAGCACAGTGCCCACTCGACGAATTGTGTTGTAGATGGTTGCCGTGCCAATGAACTCTGCAGAAAGGTATGTGTACAGAGAGAGCTGGACCTGGAGTGGAAACACACACACACACATATTAAGTGCAATGCGTAATTATTCTCCAAAAACGTATAAAATGCATGCTAACTAAAGACATTCATCATGGTGGATTGCACACGGAGCAGATTATCATTGCAGGTTCATGGTATGGATGGCCAATGACTCTATATTTCTTAATGTCACAGTTGTCGCTGCTCCACTCTGTTCATTGATGATTAGCATTTCCTCTGTAATTAGCAACAGACCTGACAAGAATCCTTAATCCCACCACAGTCCTTCTAGCTATAAGCAGCAAGAGCCTTTTCCCCTATCTCATAAATTATAGGATATTAAATTGAATGATATAAACGAATTATGATGAAAGGCGGCAGTGTGGTTATACGACGCGAACATGATGTGATGCGGTTTCAGGCTACTTAAATGTAACACTGGAAGTAAGTGATCGCCATGCTGTTTGTAATGTTATTTCCATGAGAACAGAACAGTAAAATGCACTTACAAAATCGTATTTGTCTACTAGGACAGGGTCGGTAGGCGCACTTAATTCATTCATATATTGCATGCTCCCATCATTCACACAGCTGGCTCTCCATACCCTGTGCAGCTCGAGGATGGGAACAGAGGAAACATGGACTTTGTAGCATGTCCTAAGGGAAAGAGCCAGGGTAGCTCTCTGTGCCAATGTAGCTAAACGTGGTCTAACCCATTTCATTAGCTCACGCTTTTTCTCATTTTCCTCTCTCTTTCTCTACGCTCTATTTTAAAGGAGTGTTGCAGGCAAGCCTAGAGACACTTTTGTATATATTTCCTCTTTTTATTTATTCATAGTTCGGCCCATCAGCAGAATTCCTGAAGCAAATGCATTCGCCACACAAACTCAACTCCTTTGATATACCTCATCCCGGTTTCCATGGGTCATTATATAAAATGGAAAGAAGGAGGCTCTTTCAAAAACTTTGAAGACAGGAAAGTGGAAGCAAGTGATGACTTGTCAATGACTTATACATGTTAGAATATGTCTGGGGTATGAGCTCCACTACACTGCTCAGACACTTGGCTCTGGCTGGGTCAATGTCATGTGGGCACCAAATCCAAACTGTGGTAAGGTAAAACAGCATCAAGTCATAATAATACTTTATTTTTATTTTTTTTCCTTTTGTTCATAAATACATTACCTCTTTTAAATCAGCACAGCTCTCCACTTTAAATGTAGTATATCATATTTGTCATATGTAAATATTGTTTATTTGTTATAATAGTCTTAAAATAGTTGTTTTAAATGACAGTCCTATTTTGTTCTTTTTCATTTAGTTTTGCTACGTATTCTTCTTTCTGTGTCATCGTATGCACCACATACACCAAAGCAAATTCCTCTTATGTGTCAACCTACTTGGTAATAAAACCGATTCTGAAATGTTAGTTAAACAAATTATAAAAACATGGGTAGATATTATTATTTATTTTTCCACCTACACAAACAAACAAGTGCCATCAAGAATCTTGCCAAACTGAAACTTTGACTACTGATAAGTGTAATACAAGCTATCAACACTGAACACTTTAAACCACATTTCCAGAAGTATGATGTAAAGGATTCTTGAAGCCTTCTGTGGTTGAAAGCTCCTGATATGCATCCACTTCAACTCGAAGGCTCAGGACACTTTTCCCTTAGAGGCTGGATTCCCTGAGAGCTCACCTTGGCAGGGGTGTGGATCCAAATGGCTGCATTGAACAGGATGTGGTCACACAGCTGCTTCAGCAGGGGGGCCCCGTGTGCCAGGCTGTCCAGATATTTAGCAAAGGACAGGAATTGCTCTAATACAGCCCTGGTGATGTGTGCACGTGATGACTGTAGGAAGAAGCACAAGGGCATGTTAAACAATAATAATATGTCCCATCCTATTCTGCGCTAACCATGTATATATTCTTCTGATTCTGACTGACTTACTAATAATGAGACCAACACCCCATAGTAACTGTTAATGAAATGTTTCTTTGCAGTACCCATCAGTAGTAAACACCTTAATGTTACAAAAATACATCTGTAAATTATACAGTGGTCAATAACAGGGGGGAATATCGACCATGTCCCTTAATACTATTCGAGCAAATCCAAGCAGTATTAATCTGATGTTTCTCAAGTGAGAATTAAGTAGTTAAATGTTAATAGAATAAAATAGAGTGATGTGGAGATAATTTAACAGGCGTATTGAACATACAGTGTATGTTTTTTTGTATTAAAGGGATATATTATACATATTCAGGTATATCATTTTAGTTTGGGTTACTACTATAACATCTGTAAACTGTAAGCTATAATGTTTATAAAAAAATACTGTCTGTCTTGTCTTAACTACTCTCTGTCCTTTTTTGTCATTCGAAATGTTTGTCAATTCCCATCTGTGTAGGCTCATTTAAAGGATTACTTGGTGCTGTCGATTATTCTTATGTTCTGTTGCAGCCAGATAGCAGGTTGGCATAAGTGACGCATTGATCTGTTTAGTTATAAACCTCAATACAATATTGAAACTAAATTACGAAATGTTGCAGAAACTTGCAGGATATGTCACTTTACGTATACTGTTACCACCTCTTTCTGAAACCTGTTCTCTGCCCAGTGGGGGACTTGGTGAGGGCAGAAGAGAAGGAAAATGAAGGCAATGGGGGGAGAGTATGTGTGGCATAAACAGATCACCAACAGATGGTACGATATGTGGAAGCGTGAAACCTGGCAGCGTGAAGGAAGCAAAAAAAAAAAGCGCAGCTCTCAGATGCCGACTGTCTGGCTGTTAGTTAACAGCAGCTGAAGCCAGCAGGCAGGCCAGTCACTGAGTGACAAAGTGGAGTCATTTCTTAGAGCTCCGAAAGAGCCCACACTCTGGGGAGGCCTGCAAGCTGCTAGATCTGCATCACAAAATGGGTAAATAAAGATTGATGCGGTAAGAGAGAAAGGGGAAGAGAATTAGTTCTTCCTCTAGCTCTGTTTAGTTCAAAGACACATTCAGGACTCTGCTACAGGGGATGGGAGATCAGACTGTTGACAGGCCTTGGAGAGTGCAGGCAAGATACAGTGCACCTTGATAGTGGGAAAGTTAAAAGAGGTTTCAAAAGCAGATGGGCTTGTAAGTAAAAAAAACTCTTATTCATCACAGTAAACTTCAAATCACAGTTCAAAGGGAGAAAAAACATGCTGTGATGAGTATATTATATGGATGCGGGGAAATTGGTTAATATAGAAATGACAAGTTATTGTAAAGTGATGTGTCACTGAGGTTAGGAAATATTTTCAATACGTAATGGAGGCTCTGCCACACCTTCTCTAGCAGGTATCCAATCACCAAGAAGCCCTTCCCTCCCAGCATCTGCTCCTGCATGGCCACAGAGCTCTTGAGCAGCTCAACCAGAAAGGCCAGGAGAGTGGCACTGAAAAAGAGGAAGACATAACATGTCACACAGGAAATACAACATTCATCTATTCCCACAGTCATTAGGTGCTGAAGGAATGAATCTATAAACAGCAGCAGCATGAGGACACAGTGTGGCAGAGGCAGGATAAACAAGGTCATTTCAGAGGATGCCAGCAGTCAGCTGGGACCCCCAGCCCAACACTTTCATCCTTCTTGAAGAAGAAAGAGAAGAAAGCCTGGGCGCGCTGAGGGTCTCTCTAGGGAGAGTGGTCTGGGGGGGGCGAATTGAACCAGGGTGTGTGTTAGGTAAGAAAAAAGCATTCATGGGGACAAGGCAGTACTCTGAAGACGTTGCTTTTTTCTTTGTTGGAGGGCTTTCCAGTTGAAGCATTTGGCTGAGTGACAGTGGTGCTTAGTGACACTTCTTAATCGGCTTTCCCCCACATCCTCTAGCGGCCTCCGCTCTAGCCCAACAATCACAGGGACACAATCACTCATGTGCCGGCTGCTCCATAGATACTGCACATACACTGCATACGAACTCATACAGTGAATGTGAACTTCGCTCTGCTCTGTGTTTGTTTGTCTACCTTGTTAGTTTGCAGTTGCTCCTTTCTTGCTTGTTGCTCCAACTGAGCCATGGACAAAATATTGTGACAGTGATCTCCGTGTGCTATTGGTTTAGCCTCCGGTACTTCACTGCAAACACAGTTACCTTTCAATTTTTCAGAACAGCAGCGACTCATATCACTGCTGGTTTGGAATTGGAGTGATTGGAGTAACATGAGATGTTTTATCAAAAGGACCATTTTTGTGATCTCTATTCCGGGATGCTGTTGAGAAAAGCCACTGCGCATTGACTGCCATTTGAGAGAGTGAATTGTTTGCATAGGCTTTGAATTCCTCAGCTCTACAAGCTTTAGAAGGACTCAAATGAAAAGCCAAGACAAGGACAAAGCAAGTATTGCAGAGAATGACATACTGTGAGGAAAAGACCCTTGACATGCTAGTGAGGGAGAAACAGGGACAGAATTGAGGGAGGAGAGGAGACTACAGAGGCAGAGAGCTTTGGGCATCAGGGGGTTGAGCTGCTGTGTGGCCACACCCGAGTCTCTCTGCTACTGCTGTCCTCAAACTAACACAGGATTAGAGCACAGCTCAGACTGCATCCAGGGCACAGTGGGGAAGCTTTGGACTGACCAGCTCAGGACGACAGCGATGAGAGGAGTCCAAACCAGAGAGTAGAGATAATAATAAAAACTGGACTACAGCTTGACCAAGGCTGTTTTTATAAGCAGGCAGTGGTTTATTTCGGATACATTATTATTTTGCAATTCAATGGTTCTAATACATTCAGATTTACCAAAAGTAAGATAACTTTGTGCTGTAACAACATGTGTACTTCTTACCATACAGTGGGTTCCACCTGGCTATCATTCAGCTGATGGTAGTCCAGCTGAGCGAAGAGTGGGAACAGCACCTGTATCCCACCAATGGAGTGGATGGCACTGTGGATGGAGTGAGTCCCTGTGGCTTTTACATCCTGTGAAGATAATAACATAAACCTTAATAATGACAATTCAAAATGCGTGCACCGGAAATTAATTTAAATCTATGAGGGTGACACAGAGTTAAGAATGGGCTTGGAGCAAAGCAACTGACCTGTAGCATAAGGGCGTGCGGTGAGTGCACAAAGATGGAGGCATTTTCTTTAGGCGAGGACTGCAGGCAGAGCTGGGCGTCAGTGGCCTTGGCATTATAGGTGAAGGCGATGGAGCTGGCCAACTTACCATCATACAACACCTGCTTGTGATGCTCTGCTAAGTGAATGTCACTCTCTGACTTAAACTTAAAAGTGCTCTGGAAAAAAAAGAGAGAGAAAATGGGTGAGAAAAAGGGAGAGATAAAGATATTCACGTAGCTCCTTTCTACACTTGCACCCCATCAGTGTCTCTTTGTCGTTATCTTTTCTAATTAAAACTTTATTAAAAAATATCCATTCAAGAATGAAAAATGACAGGATGTTTTTTTTTTAGTAGCAACGACAGGTTTAAAGAGGGCAAGATTTATGTATTGGTGCAGAGTAAATTAAAGAGGCCCTGTTATGCTATTGAGATTTTGCCTTTATTACTGCAGTGTCTTATATTGGTTTTTGAGCATTTAAATGATCTGCAAAAGCTAAAATCTCAAATGTCTCTCCATATGGAGCTTCTCTCCCACATAACACCCCCCTTCCTTAAACACCTTGATTGGACGCCTTTATTTAATTCACTAACATAGCGACATTACATTACTTCATTACATGTTACTTTTATGTAAGTCGCTTTTATCCAAAGCGACTTACATACTCAATACTGTGGGCAATCCCCACAGGAGCAATTTGGGTGAAGTGTCTTGCCCAGGGACACAACGACATGCTGACTGCAGTGGGGTTTGAACCTGTGACCCCCTGATTCCGAACACAAACGCACAACCAACTGCACCACACGCCTCCCTGACATCACTACGTAACACTCGCGCTTCTATTGACCAGTGCTCCAACACATTGGCTAAGGGGCGGGACGTCTCTAAGCAGTTGACCAATCACAACAGAGCCGGGCCAGCTAACCAATCAGAGCAGATTGGGCTCTGGTTTCAGACTGAGGGTGAAAAGAGGGCCTGCAGCACAGGCAGTATGAGAAAAATAAAGAGCTTTTTGAACATTAAAGCATGAAAACGTGTCACAATAGATAGAGGCTCCAAATTACAAATATGAACCAGAACATGAGCATATTAGGGCCATTATAGAGTAAATTACTTTCAACAACACAAAGCAATCGTGCAAAGGCTTTTAAGCAAACCGTTTTTAGAACAATTTACAACTTAGCACAAGTTCTTGTCAGGGCACGTACATAATTGAAGCAGTATAGATTTACATTGTCTAATAAAAGCTTCATTCAAGGTGCAAGAAAGAAGGAGGCAGGGGCCGTTATTCCGTTTCCAATAAAGAAGGCATCAAATATAATAAAAAACAGATTTTATTTTGCAGTGCACACATTTAAATTTGATCTTTGTATTTCACAGGGGACATATACAAGTTTATTGTTATGATATGAAAGTACAAATCTTTTCTCGGCTGGTTTAATTTTGTTTCACTTTTAATCCCTGTGGCTAGTGGATGGTAGTCTGTAGTTCTACAGCTGAACATAATGATAAGAAGGAACAGGGACTGATAAAAGTTGGTTTAGTACCAGAGGGGACTGTTAACTGCATTAAATGTAACCCAGCCATTTATTAGCCTGTCCTATAGCAATCCTGAACCAAACACAGTCACTGCTGAGTTCTCTTAAGTGAGCTATGACCGCACTCTCTTACCTAGCACAAATTAAGATGAATCGTTTTTTGGTATTATTTTTCTTATTTACTGTTCAAATACTTTCCACTAACGGAACAGGTGAACATATGAGAAGAGTTTACTGAGTGTGGCTCGAAACACCGACAAATAAAGATAAGCAGTCTGTAATTGATTGTGTCCCCTTACATCTAAAGTAATCAGACTTTGAGTCAAAACAGTGTGCTACAGTAACACCTGCTGAGATCAGTATTCTATTGATTTATCAGATTTCTTTATTGAATGTTGGCTCACCACCCTCATACCAGAGAGAGAGAAAAGCCACATGAAATGTGAATAAAGTCGAGATACATTTATAAAACCAATAGCACCACACATTAATATGTTTCAAGTTTTTGTTCTAACTTTACATGCTTTTCAGGTCAATTTCTTCAGTTGGGAAACCTTTTTTCTTATTATTTTCCCAGAACTGAGTGTGGCTAAAATCTCCAAATCTTAACGACAGTAACACATACCTACACTGGTAACTTAAATGGTATTGGTTCTTAACACACATATGAAGCCATTGAATGACTATGTTAAAATAACTGGGAGTTCCATTAGTCAGTGGCTTAGTAACACATTCATTATTGCAGATATAACAAACAGCTGATCAATAACAGACAGGTCTTCATTTACTCAATCAATTAACTGTGGAAAGATAAGGTAAATTAATCTGTCAATGCAGTGTGAATGGAACATGCTTAATGAGGAAATTAAGTCCTTTAACCAGGCAGGTTGAATTATTAATGAATGAGAGAAATGTTTTTGTTTTTTTAATCCCTCTCCGACTCGTGGATGGTGATAAAATAACAAGAGACAGAAGCTGAAGTAACAGTGAGGAAAGAACCATCTGCTCCGAAAGGGACTGTAGATAAATACAGTATGTTACGCAACACAAGCAAACTGGGTTCATGCATCTAAAGCATCTAAATCTGGACTGCTTGTTTTCAGTTGGGTAGTAAGTGGATAAAAAGGCAAGCTGACTCAGAGTTTCAATTGTACAATCATTGTGAAATCTATTCTGAATGCATATGTAAGTGCAGCATTTAAGAAGGTGGCAAGCTTTGACATAACACATAAAGTGATTCAAATTATTCTTAATAGTAAACTGTATATTTCAGCTTGAAATATTACACAACACTAAATGTAAATTATCTTGTTTTGAAGGTTTTTTAAATATTAATATGTTACGTTTTCTGATCCTAGAACCTAATCCTCTGGGTTTCAGATTTGACTAGATTGGCAAGTTAATCCCTTTTCCAAATCGATGTTGGTCAAAATCCATGTACATTTACTGTTTTTATATCTGTTCTGTTGCCTGGCAGCATTTTTCCAGGATTTTCCAGGAGAGAGTTGAACCACATTTAATGATGTATCTTCTTTCAGTCAGACAATGATAAGGCATAAGAAGTATTCTGTTCATCTTCAATGATCAAGTCCACACAGCAGCATGCATCTCATCAAGTAGTCTCTAACATCCTTCAAAAGGTCCTACTCATGAAACCCAACTGACAAGAAATAACAAGCTCCAGTGCCCTGCACTTTAGTGGGAGCCCTGCCACAGTGTGGACATAATTATCTCATGGTTCACGGCTACTGTAACAAACCTGTAGTTTTACAGTATCTTTCAACAAGTCAGCCAGTCACATACAATATTTTAAGCACTACAGCTGCCCTCTTTCTCTCCCAATGCCAAAGGCTGTTGTGGACCAGGGGAATCACAACAACTCCCTAACAGTAATAGGCAGACACTACCATGCTCCAATGCTACAGCTGCTGCCATCATAGCAAGACTAAACAATGCACAATTAGATCTTTCTCAAATAATTCATAATATCCAATACAGATACAAAATGTGCTCAGTATTGACTTAATGTTTAAACTAATCCAGGGAAATGTATCATTGCAAGACAGAGACATTTGGAACAGCTTTGCTATTTTCCCATGACTGCAATTACTTTTAAAAAGTCTCAATCATGTATACAATGATCTACGATGCAGATGAAAACAACATCAAACTGCTTTTAACACTTTCTATAGCCTATAGTGGAGCCATGGTGGTAGTGTTCAAACATTTGTAATTGTAAAAAAGGACTAAGAAGATGTCTATTGACTTTAGCCTATTTTCTAGAAATAGCATTGGCAGGTATTAGGGATGCTCCGATCGCCAATTTTGGGGCCGATCCCCGGAATCAGTATCGGCAGCCTGTATCGTCTCATGCAGCTCACTGATCCAGTAAATCAGTGACCCGACAGTCAAGAATATATGTATTTATAACTAGTTTATCTTGTTCCAAAGGTAGATAAAATAGCTAAGTGTGTTAGGTCTAACTCTTAGTATGTGTTTTGCTCCGCTCACCGGTCCGTTACAGCGGGTGGAGCTGCAGGATTTCTGCTTCACACACGTTGCATATGGCGCTATTTTATTGTCATTTTCGGACACCTTAAAATACTGCCAGACCGGTGAAGCCATTTTGGCGAGATTGTTTTGCCGCGCACAGAGAAAAGTGTCATGTATTTTACGTCATCATTTTACGTCACGCGATCGGCTCTCGCGATCGACATTTTTAGAGAGCACGGCGGCCGATCGATCGGAGCATCCCTGGGCTAGCAGCATCCCTGGGCTAGCAGCAGTGTTTCCCACACATTGATTTATTTGTGCGCCACAAATGGATCTCATAAAAAAACAAAACATTATTATTAATATTATTTATTTATTTTTTAAAGATAGAATCAAATTCTGTGGGAAACACTGTATGTGTTGGCCTGAATGCTATCTCCAAAGGATGTGAGCCTGTCATCTAATGCTCTACATCAATATTGTATTATTGGATGGCCTCTTCTCAGAGATAACATTTGTCTTCCCTGACAGGGAGGACCGGGACTGTGCAGCTGCTCAGTCTCATCAACAGCAATCTGGGGTGCATAGTGTTGGCACAAATTCAATGGGCTAATCTGACTCATGTAGAACGCATATGGTAGTGATGATAGAGGGCCATACAGATAAAAGCCTCAATGTATTATTTGAAAAGTGGACATAAAGTAATTGGCATAATTGTCTTGACTTGTCAATTTGCTGACTTACATGTTGTGTTTTGTGATTAACTTTATAACTCCAGATCATGCTATTACCCAGACCTGGACAAATAAGTAATTCCCCAAAGTAAAAACATTTGTTTAAGAATATATGCCAGTATCCACTTTTAATGTTGTGAGGCAATTCCCTTGTATGACTCTCAGCCCACAATTTCTTTGACTTTCCCCAAATCTTATGAACTCTGCTAAAAAAGCAGTGATGACTGTCACACTTCTGTCAGTGTCAATAGAACCAACCCTGTCTCTTGATGTTATCAACAAATGTCTGGGAATGTCAAGTGAGTGAAAAAACAATGGCAATATAGAGCAAAATGAGTTGAAACTTCAAATGAAATCAGGAGTCCTTCTTGGTTTGGAGTGCAATTTCCATACAGCAATATGAGAAGAGCCCAGGGATCAGATTCTACTTACAGGTCTGTCAGATTTTAAACCATAAATCATATAGTGCGGTAGAAATCGTAACCCTGGGCAGCAATAATCTCTGCATTTCGACTAACCGCCAAAGTTACAGTTACACTCAACACAGTATGTTAGCAAGGGGGAGCATGTCAGACATCAAACATGGATGAGAGGATCACGGATCAGAAAATAAATCATGCATTAGCTCAGATGTTTTTTTTTTTCCTCTGGCTCTGGATTTGAGACGAGTAGAAACAGATATAAGGAAACTCCCAATGTACATACCGTAGCAACTCAGACTCTGCCTTGCATTCTCAATTAAAGTGACCTGACACCTCTCTGACCTTTTCTCCCCAACTCACCTGGCTGGCTCTATCATCCTCACCATTACAAAGCCTATTCACAGCTTCATCAATTGAGGGTAATTGTCTCACCTGGACATGCTCTTCATTATTTTCAGAAATCTGGGGGATTGCTCTGTGGTGTCACCTCTCTAATACAAGGTCTGGGACCACAATTAGCGAGGTAAACGGCAAGTCAGCTGCCATTAGCAAAAAGACCAAACAATGACTCCACCTGGGAATCTCAAGGCATCCATAGGCCAGACTGAAATCAGTATTTCATCAATTATGGCAGCAATAGAATAAGAGAAAAACACAGGTAGTACACATGGGAGTATACACAGGGATAATAAGGAATAAAAAGGAAATACAATTAAATAAATACAAAATAATAATAAACATGTATTAAAGGTAACCTATTATGCAAAATACACTTTTTCATGTATTTCATAAATAAATATGCANCTGCATTAAAAGATTCTGAAAGATTCAGAAAAAATTACCCGCTCTCTTTTTGTCCAGATGAATTTATATAAAAGCATGTCTGAAAATGAGCTGATCAGATCTTGGCCACTTTATGATGTCATAACGTTTTTTTGGCTTGTGTAACCATTAGCCAATCACCAACCAAGGTAACCCCCCCCCCACCTTATCACCTGAATCTCCTCCTAGAACACCATTGTGTTCATTTTAACCAAATATCTCGCCGAGGGGCGTGGGGAGTGGCCTCTTATTTTCATCTAAAGTAACAGACACCGAATCAGCACTTTTGAAACAGGGCTGAAACAGAGGGGATTATGGGATGCTGCAATGCACGATCTGTTTGGTATTTGGAACCTAACACTTTAGAGACATGTTTTATAACTGAGAACTATATTATATTGATGAAAAATAGTATATTAGGGGATCTTTAACAGAATAGAAATAACAAAAATAAGTTAAACTCTGATCAGGTGAATGTACATATATACAGATATGTGAACAAGGTTAAATATACATTTAAATGTGCAGGTAACAGTGCGGGTGAAGCTAGAGCTTAAACCCAGCTGGGGTTAGATAAACAGAGATAGTGTAAACTGTCTGAGATACATCCTGTGTTTAAAGCTGATTTGGCAGTGCATGTCATTCCTCCATTTGTGACAGAGTGGAGAGCTTAACAGTGTGAAGAAAGGCAGCAGCAGTTTGTGAGCGTCAGGAAGTGTGACAGTTAGAGTGAGAGAGAGCAGACTCTGAAACTAAGAATAAGCTGAGGGCACACTCCGTATCTCTTTCAAGATGAGTTAATAAAATAAATACAATTTCAAAAAGGAAAATGTGCCAACCAAATATTTTTGTCACCATGTGCTTAACATTCACAGCTAAATCCCCCTCTGGGTAGGTCAGCATCTTTCTGTATTCACAATCTTTTGCTCTTTGTCAAGAAGCTTGGGAGTGCTGCACCTGCTCATGCTGATATAAGTCGGCTCAGGACTCTATCCCCTCAGATGGCCTGCTGCTCTCCTCTGTGTATTGGGCTATTATTTCCCAAAAGTAGGTAATTTATGCAGTGTTTATCTAGGAGGAAAGGCATTGCTCCCAGGAGAGAGACACAAGGGGAAAGTAACATGGGGATGGGCAGCAATGGGCATTGATTTCAAAGATTGATAGATGATGCAGACTGTTTACATGTACTCTAACTCAGTCCCCCTCAAGTGCATACCTTATAGCCTGGTCCTAGCTGATGAATTGCAAAGATCTGTGCTGGATTGAGGGCTTCACTGAACACGTAGACGGCTCCTAGCTGCCCGCAGAATACCCTGTTAGCGTCGGCTGTCTCTGAGGACCCGAGGAAGCACTTATCATAACTCTGAAAGAGGGACACAGAAGAAAAAAGGCTTTATAATTCTATACTTTAAGACCGAAAGGAAAAATATGCTAAATTCAGACAATGCTAAATTGAACCGAGGGAAGTAATACATTTAATTATACAAATGCCTATATTTTCTCCAAGTTATTATATTTTCAATATATTTTATCCAACGTAACATCACCATCTGTGTTGTTTCAGTTTCAACCTTGACACTTCCCTATCGGAAAGAGGAAAACAATGTCTCTGATTTACAAAGATAGGAAACCTCAATATAACCTGCGTGAAAGAGTGAATATGTGCTGTGATTGCAATCAGGATCAAATTAAAAGGATAACTTACAACAGCAGCAGCTAATTAACAAATGCTGAACAAGACAGTATGAAGGCCTATACAAGTGGGACTGAGAGGGTACAAAAACATCAAACCTGTTTATTGGAGTATTCAAAATCTGATCAAGCTTGTCTCCTATTTTAGAAAAGCCCATCTTATCTGATGTATGTGTGAGGTGATTTAAACAAATACACTTTACCACACACAATAATGCTAACCAAGCTTTGTCAAAAATATGAAACCGTGACCAAGACAAAGCTTTGGTCCTACTTCAAAGGTTGGCAAAGCAGAAGAATGGCAATTATCTAAGTAGGAGGCAAATGACAATGCTATAATAGAAAATAATATACAAAAATTGGAACATTTAGGTTTTAATATCAAAGCCCCAATACTAGAGAGAGAATAGCCAAAGATAAATACAAATTATTTAGATGTAAAAGGCTTTTTTCAGGGTATTTGTATATTACCAGAGTCCCCCGGCATGTAACAACATTCTAAATGTCAGTTTACAATATTTTCTGTGAAGAAAAGTTATGCAGCCCTACTTTCCATGGCACGTGTATTTAAATAATCCAGATCAAGAGAAATGTTAAAATACTAAGGTGTACAGTATATTATTTCCTTATTGTATGTTGTGATGTGATTATGTATGCCACATCGTCAAATACATTTCTACATGTCCTTCATTTGGTTGAATGGAGTAATCTCTTGCTGTGTGGTCTGATGTCTTGTGTCTTTGTGATGCATCTGTTTTTGCACACATCACAGGAAAAATCCTCCTCATTTGAATTATGCTCATATTCTTTCAGGTGTGGGAAAGTTGTACAAAAAACCTTTCCATCACAAGCTAACAAGTGAGGGAATATTTGTATGAAATGCATCTCACCTCGGAGCAAGTGCAAATTGCTTTTTTATTTCTGTAAATAGCTACTGTATGTGTGACAACAGGTTTTATTTTTGGAGTCATTTAACATGCAAATTCAACATAACATGTATTTCAAACCAGAATGTTTCAGTCTGATGGTATTTACACTGCTTAGATTCAGCCATTTTCACTCAACATAAATACATCTGTTTAATATTCCATCTTCAACTCTCTTTTCTAGCGCAACTCTGTGACAAATGGTTATTCAAATTAAGACTGAAATGCCAGTCGTATATCTGAAAGAAATCCATGTTGCTGTGGTAAAACTCATTTTCTTGAATGAGCACTATTGAAGATGTATGTATGTCACAATTTGTATCCATGCGAGACGTTGTTGCTGAGGACCTGTGCCAATAAACATCAAACCCAGAGGAACATAAGACAGTAGTGTGGAGGAGTAAAAGAAGAGTGCTTACATCATTTGTGTTGACGTGCCATGCCATGTCTCCATAAGAAACGAGCTGTCCGTTAACATAGCATCTGATTTCACTGTTCCTCCAGCGGCTGTAGATGTGAACTATACTGATCATGTACCACTGAGGGGGAAAATAGAGTCAGATTAAAACGTTTCAATAACAGGACAAGTCCATTAACTAGCTTGACTTCACTTAACTACAGTACAACTGAGGTGTAGAGTTTGTCACAAACATCACCAAAGTTGCTCCATCACCAACATTTCTGCTTTATTCTCCAATTCGTTTCTTATAGAAGCGTGAAATTCTGATTGAACTTTGAATAACTGCAAAGCCATGGCCGTGAGGTTTGCTATCTAATGTTTTTTTAAACTGCAGTGGAAAACTTTGAATAATAGATCAGAGAAAAGGGTAAGAGGAAGCAAGACAACTAATTGTTCAGTCTGCAAAAAGCCACATCAAACACTGGCTGTCAGCACTACGAGATGAAACACAAACTACAGCTAGTTGAGTCAGGTCAAGTTTACAGATAGGAGATGTAACCTTATAATATCTCATGTCAAGTAGGTGCAAATAAAAAAGAGACAATAACTATAATCAGCCTTATGACAGGGGAGGGAAATGTGAATTGACTTGTAGTTTCATATTTCTTAAAAGGCTGAAAGCCCTTCCAGAGCCATTCAGAGTGTTTCGCCTCAGCTTTATTTGAATTCAAATGATAAATGGAATTGAATAGCATATTCAATTATTTGATTTTCTTCCATAACTAATTCAATTAATTACATACGGCAAAACGTGCCAGGTTGAAACTCTGGAGCGATATATGGATGCAGTCTGTCAACGGAGAACAGCCTCAAACATTCAAGAGGCTCATAGTGTGAGCACTGGCCATGTTATATAGGCCAACCACTCACAGCAGCAGGCAATAGGTTGTCCATCTCCTATGTGACTGTGAGGCCACTGCTTATTAGTTTGACCCACGAAGGGCGCAGTGAGCAGCCTAATGGAATTACAGCCGTCTACACACAAAGGTAAGGACACTTAAAAGAGGATTCATGGCTGACGGGAGGAGAGCAAGCTGCACACAGATAATTTAAAACGGCACTTATCCGCAGATGTCTGAGCCCAAAATCAATTAAAAACTTAATTCAACATGTTTTATCTTCCAAGAGCTTCTACAAAACGATAGGCGCTCGGTGGTAGTAGCAGTGGGATGGATGCTTGTTCCCAGGTGTTATGTCAGGGCTCTAATTGTTTCAGTCGGTTATCCTGCTCTGCAGGGACAACTACGCTACACTAACATTTCATGCCAAATTAGGTTTCATTTTCTCATCTACATTTAAATCCAATTAAGCCTCTAAGACTCCTCTGGGGGTCGTAAACGCTTCAGGTATATGTGTTGACATACAACTTTGTAATTCACATAAAAGAACAGGTGTTGGGCAAAGAGTCAGCGCTATGTGCAGCCAAAAATGCAGAGTGTTTCGAAACAGGTGTGTAATTTCTTGTTTTTCTAAATCATTTTGAGGCATTAATTGCTTTCCTCTCAGCACAGGCCAAAATGATGTGAACTTCTGTTATTTGGTGGTTGGTGCAGATGTAACTTGCATATACTTGAAGTAGCTACTACCCATGTTTTGGAAGACGGCTGCTTCAATTGAAAATACTTAGGTCCAAATAACATCATGATACGTTGTATAGCAGCTGAAATGGTTAAAAGCCAAAGCTGCTCTTACCTTCCTGGGCTGAAAGTCATACTTCACACAATGCTGGAAACCTTTCCCTTTTGACTTCAGTGATGTCACGATCAAGCAGTTCCCGACAAAATGTGCAGAGTACCCGATGCCCTTGCTGGTCCGAAAGCTGTAAAACAGAAACATGCTCAGTTGCATTACACATCATGAGTTGCAAACCCAGTTAATGTATTAACAAGCAGGATTAGAGGCATTTTTTGTGACTCTACTTACATCTTTGGATATTTCCTTACCAACAATACTGTGCTATCATACAAACAAATAACTGTAGGAAACTAGCAGCTTCTCTCTGCATAATAAGATATGGGCCAACATAATATTTGCATGCCTCGCGCTAGGCAGACACAAAGCAATTTGCAGGAGTAATTGACAGGTAATTGTTAGGATACTTATGAGAATTATGATATTATGCTTAACCAGCTAGAACATGAAAATGCCTGAGTTGAGACTGCAGCTACTGCAAACTGCGCTGGCATGGTGACAACTATAGACTAAGACACAAGAAAAACGCTTAGTGGATGATAACACTTCAGTGATTCTCCCTGCATCTTATTCCTCTACTTTGATCTTCTTGAATCCAGAGATAAAAGATATGTAAAATCAGCACTATGAAAATGCCCTCTGTATACCATTCAAGCAGACTATGGCTGCGGCAGTTACCTCCTTTTCTTGCCCTTCACTTCTGTCAGTTACTCACTACAACCCCAGAGTATTTAGGTCTAAAGCCATCTTCAAAGCCCCAACCAGCTCCATCCTTTGGGAACATCTTAAACAAACAGACCCCTTTGACAAGACAGATAAAGAGAGCACAGGCTTTAATATTGTGAGGTGAATGCAGTGAGCCGCAGAGCCCCACACCTAGCTGAGCTAAGACGCTCCGCTGAACAAGTCTGCTTGTGATTACACATCAGGAGAAAAAACAGCAACCTTGGTCCGCTTCTGAAGATAAAATCCTCTTTTTGTGTTGTCTACATGCCCTGCCACTGAGCCATGAGGCCTTCAGAGCAATGCACAAACAGGATTAGCTTGGCATATCTCCGCCTTTTTGTGACTGTCAGAAAGGAACGGCTGTCGCATGAATACCAACAACGTAGCTCAGGCAATTCCTCTTTTTATTTTTTTGATGTTACACATCAGAGAAATACAGAAGAAGTCCTTCCAAGGTGATTAGACTCTTTCGTTCCATCTGTGTGATGCAAGTAAAGCAATGGCAGCCAACAGATAGAGAGAACTAACTGTTGTTTTTTCACCAATTAGTCATTCATCTTTTTATCCATTTTCTCTATAATTTCCTTCCACAAATCTTTTATATGCCCCATTGTAGTCAGCGATGTTCTCCCTAAACTGCTCTCATAAACAGAAACAACAGCAGTTGAATAGCACTTCACTTTTGGATTATTGATTTTAGCACTAATTACCCACAAGAGCCGATATGTGGCAGATATTCAAATCTAAATGAATCCCTCCACAGGGCCTCCCACTGCAGCAGGCCACCTCTGCGACAGGTAGCAGTCGTTCATGCTTCAATAGATTTTAATCTGAATAATCTCACCTAATTCCCCTCTCTCTATTATAAATTATACATGAACATTACCTGGAGGGAAAACAAATAGGCTATTTCCCAGACCCCATTACATAAGTGTTGTCAGTGTGTGAAGAATAGCGCCTGTAAAACTAGTTTAACCTTGAAAAACAAGTTCCAACCATAATCTGCTTGGATGGGGGAATCACTGTAGGTCACAGTATCAGACAGCATATTGCTTTGTCAATAAAGCTGCTGGTAGCTTTATAGGTCTCTGTAGAGAGAGAGTGATTTCTAATACACAGCTAAAGCAATTATATTGATGAAAAACAGGAAAGTGTAATTTTCTTCTCTCTGGTGTTATAATGTAGACTCACAGCACCTCAGTGAGAGAGCTGGGAGCGTACTGAGGACACCGGAACATGGAGCACAGATGTATGTTCTTATTTACTCACCAGTAGAGATATGGTTTGTCCTTGTCAACATTGATGTTATTCAAAGGATCCATCCTGAACCAGGTATTGAATGTAAACCCATTCTGATAAGGCCACTTGGCAATAGGAGGTAAAGCAATGGCCTGGGACAGAAAACACAAACATATGGCGATTATGCATGATTAGAGATAAATGTTCCGAAAGTAGCACTGCCTTTATGAATTAAGTTTAAGTAAAATTACGATCCACTATGGAGACCTCAACTTGAGTCGGACCACAACAACAAGGTGTTACCAGAGATCCAAAATGTGTTTATGGTTCCTTTAAATGTATTAGCTATTTGCATATAGGTCACACACGTGTATGTTCTATTGTATTATTATTATGATTGTTTTACTTAATGACAGAGAGGCAATTGCGAATATATTGTGACCTCAACAATGTTACTGGCCAACTGATCGCATTAAAGTTGCTACTAATGCTGAATATTTTATGATGCCAAGAGTCCAGCCTTTTAAATAAATCTTACTATGACCCTGGTCCTATTTGCATATGGGGAACATTAATATTAATCTCTAAGATTAAGAGCGAGAAGTTTAAAACGCGTTTTTTATCAGTGAATAATTACATCTAATGAAATGACTGTGATAACTCATAAACCTAATTAATCAACAGGATTTGGCATGGTGCAAAGTATCTAAATGTAATGAACATTTAGAACACTACTTTCAGGATTTTAATCTCCCACCACACGTTTACTTAACCATATCTTGGTTTTCTCTACAGTATATGTATCAACTCCTTAGTCTAACTATCAGCAGCTCTGAACTGCACCTATCTTATTTAGTCACACAACCGTGTCAAACTTTCTTACACAAGGTTGGTTATAACATTTCCCCATCTACAAACCCTTTAAATCATTTGTTTTCTTGCAACACACAGAGGTAACATGTATTTTCTCTACAGTAATAGTGGAGCTGTTTCTATCTACAAGTAAAGAATACTTCATACCTGTTTTCTTATTATACTACAAATCATAAAATTGGATTAGGTCATGAGGCATGTTCGATTGGAATGGGTTCATCGAAAAGGCATAAATAATGCAGCATTACAAAACATGTGCTGTAATAAAAATCATAATATTTTGACAAAATAATTTATTGACGAGAGCTACACCTTTTCCTACCTTGATTTACTTGAACAGCATTTCTTTACAGAATAAGAGATTGATTGTTCTGCTAATTTGTGCACATCAATTAACTGTTTAACCATACAAACGTGTAGGTCTTCATAAAATGCATATGTTATTTTAAAATCGATTGTAGAGTGAAAACATATGAAAGCTTACCGCTGCACTGCGTCCAGGAAAGTTGAAAAAGGCATTGGGGCCGTGTCTCTGGGGCATCTGATTCAGCACCGACAACATTTTGACGGCATGCTTTGGCTGCACAGGTGGCAAAGATGCAAAAAAAAAGAAGTAACAAGACAGTGAAGACTCTTGCTCTGACTGTTTGGGCAGCAGCAAATGAACTGTCAATTACCTCAATCATTCATTCTGCGGTTTGTCAATTATAGAACAAGCTCTAAACAGATCAGGGTGATGGCTCACTGGGGGCAACTCAAGTGACAAACCAACACACACTTCTGCCTGCCTCGCTGCATTCAGTCCCTCGCTATCACTTACCCAGAGGTTGCCTTCTCCGCGGAGCATGCTGAAGAGCAATTTCAGTTCCTTCACTGTGATGCTGTAGCTGGCCAGCACTCCCAGCATGTCCACTAGCAAGTCTTTATAGAGAACATGGCATGGATGAATTACCAGAAACACACAAACAAAGACAAGAGAAAGTAGAAAGAGAGGACTATTATCAAATACAGCTGCATTTTATAGATATTACATTTCATCCACACTGCGCAGGAGGTCCTCACAGGGGATCCAGAGATAATTAAAAACAGACTCGCTCTAGTTTAGTTTCATTCTCAGTTCATGGTCGGTGAAATTCCATGTTATTTATCATAGAAGCAATTTCACACTACAACACACTAAATTAAAGGCTACATTGTTTAACTTGGAGGAACAGTAACACAGCAGTGGAAAACACATTTTGATTTCATCAGCTGAAACATCATTTATAAATAACACAAGGTATGGATGATATTTGCATCGGGCAAATTGTCAAAGTGACACTGACTTCCACAAACAATCCCCCCGATGACCTGAATACAAACATTTTAGGGGCTTATTGCAGACATTTTAAACTACAAAGTAGTAGTCCTTAAAGAAGGCAGCATTTTTAGAAAAGTTTCAGGATGTTCCTGCATAACACAGCAACTAACCTTTGCAAGGTTTCTATACCCTGAATAAATGAATACTTGACATGTGTCTAAAGACCATCAAGAGGCCTTGCCGCCAGTGGATTAAAAGAAAACAACTATAGTTTATTATAATATACAGTACATCTGTAATAATATAGAGTCCAAGTTTACTTTGTGTTCTATTTGAGACTTTTTGCAATAATTGATATCTCAATAAACAATTTAAATCGGTTGAACTATGATGATTGAATAACTGAAAAGTAAACCAGATAAAAATAACTCCAAATACTTTACACTTCATGTCTTCCATAGTTTTCAATATGTTTAAAGCAATAATTGAATGCACTGCTGCTTGGCTTTACTGTGTTTTTTTTACACTTTTACAACAGAGAAAATACTGAGAGGAATATGAAATGTTTGAAATGAACTTTTTCCATCCAAAATCTGAATCACAACTGTGCCAGTCTACTGTAGCTCAAAATGCAGATCCATTAAAAGATACAGACAGATGGTTTGTTGCCTGACTGACAGCTAAAACTAAGAAGGCATAAGCCATGAAAAAAAGATTGTGCATTTTACATTTGATACAAAAAGAAGCTCGCTCACACATTTTTCCTACCTGCAATCATGTCGTCCACGGAGCTCATTCTGAGCAGCACCTGCTGGATGAGGCCCACCTCAGTGCTGGTCTGCAGGTTTCGAACACTTTTCCGAAGGATAGCAGTGAACATGCTCCAGACCTCAGCCTGGCAGGTGACGTCACAGTGGCCCAGCAGCTCCACCATGCAGCCGATGCTCTCTGCATCTTGGATAATGAAGTTGGTCTCCAGATCAAACTCACCACCCACCAACTGCAGAATAAGATAAGACAGAAAAGATTGGATTGTTATGCCTTTCACATGCTGCCTAAACTATCTTATGTTGATTTAATGCTCAAGAAATGAGCGCAATATATTAAACTAAATGTCTTGCCGGAACTGGAAGAAGAAAGTAAAGAACACTTTTGTTCTAAAAGGTTTGGATCAGAATTTAAACACTCAGGAAAACAAAATAGCCTGGCAATTAATGAAAAGAGCAAGGGAAGGGAGTTCCAATAGCCCTGCTGCCACTTTTGAGTCACAAATGATAATCACTCTTAAGAAATTAGAAAACAACAATCAATAATGCACTTCTTCAAGTTCAACAAGCATGAAATTAGCCCTCGAAAGAAGTGCATGTTATATATAGAAAGCACTGACAACAAGTTGATGGTGTGCATCAAAGCAAGCAGGCGGGAAATGGTTCTGGATACCCACTGCACATTACTGTGATTGACAGGTCATAGCTAGGTGAAAGCAAAAGCAGCCTAAAGAAGGAAAGACTCCGGTCCATGGAGGTATAATCGGAGCCTGGCCTCAATCATCATCAGATCTTGAGTCAATCAGATTACAATAATGCATGTCACTGGCTGCTTCAACTTTAGGATTGGAGTTCAGTTGTTCTGCAGAAAAAAATTCAAACTCCTTTAAAAGCTAGGTGTTTTTTTCCCTCTCAGGTATAACACACAGATATAGCTGAAATGTAAGGGAAAGCTTTACTGGAAATTATGCGCTAAAGATTTGGGTTGAACATGTACCGGGGGTTAGTCCCCTACGGTGGCCCTGAAGTGCAAGACACCACAGCATTTCAGAAAACGCCGCAGCATTTCAGAAAACACAACAGCATTTCAGAAAACACAACAGCATTTCAGAAAACACAACAGCATTTCAGGAAACACCACAGCATTTCAGAAAACGCCGCAGCATTTCAGAAAACAAAACAGCATTTCAGGAAACACCACAGCATTTCAGGAAACACAACAGCATTTCAGGAAACACCACAGCATTTCAGGAAACACCACAGCATTTCACATTGGACGGAAAGGGTATTCCTTTAGGGAGAACACTTCTTGTTTGTGATTGGACAGAGCCAGCCAGAGAATGCTGTACTGTAGTGTCTTGCACTTCANTTCATATAATCAGTCTCTCTGCACGCGGAAACGGCACCCGCTCTCGTTGTGACACTGGACCATGCCAACGGAAAACTATTCCTATGCAATGTAATCACCTCATGTTTTCAACCTTTTCCATTCACTAAAGCATTCATCCTCTCTTGCTCCTCTCCTTTCTTCCATCTCCACATGTCTTTTCCGCTCTTTTCTCTCCTCCTCTCCTCTAATCCCCTTTCCTTTCCTGTCCTGTCCTTTCCTTTCCCCTTTCCTTTCCCTGCCCTTCCTTCCTCTCCTTTCCTGCTCCTTTCCTTTCCCTCTCCTGTCCTCACCCTCCCTCTCTTCTCCCTACCTCTCCTCTAATCTCCTTTCCTTCCCGCCTTTCCTTTCCCTCGCCTCCCCTCTCCTCCTCCCCTCTCCACCAACTGTATCTTTTGTCGGTGCAAAATGTTTAGCTATAGTCACTGCTTTCATTCACACAAACCGTGGCACATATTTTATCAGCCAAAATCCCCCGCAGCCCACTTTTTGTCTGTGGCGCCCCCCTTTCTTATCTCTCTCTTGTTCTCTTTCCAACACACACATTTTTCCCCACCCCTTCTACTCCGCTGCCCCCCGCTCATCTCTCCTTCCCCTTCCTCTCTGTTTGGAAATCCTGCTGTCCGCCTGCTCCCACCAAACTACAACTTCCTTCCTTCCCCTCATGCCTCAGCACCTTTTATTCAACCACTTTTTTCATCTCACGTCCTCAATGCTAAAACGCACTGCGTCTGTACACACAACACAACCACACACACACCACACACACACACACACCCACAAGCACAACACACACACCAAACACACACCACACACACACACACACACCACACACACACACACACACACACACACAGACACACACACACACACACAGAATCCCCTGGCTCTTCCTTTGTCTGCCCGCCTAATTTGTCAGCGCGGTTTGGTTCCAGGGGATTAATGTGTGCATCCCCATGAAGTAAGGGATACAAAAAGTGCACATAGGGTTGCAAAGATTGTTTGTGTGTTTAAAGTTATAGATTGTGTAGGCGATTCTGCATGTACACTTCAGTTTGTCTTGTGTGCACACTTTAGAGTGTATGTATTATTATAGGGCCTGTTTTTGCCTCCTCGTCTCACAACTTTAAGCACAGAACAAAAAGTTCTAGCGAAAAACAAACGTGGCTTTCAGCAGGTTGTGAGAATAGAATAGAAATCACATCTTTCATAAAGCAAAGGTGTCAACAGGATTTTCTCTGCACATTTCTCAATCCGTGAGGCATCTGCAGGTGTTCTGCTCATGTAAGAGGCTCTCAGACGGCTGGAGGGCATGCAGTGTGCAGTATGTCAGATGTGCCGTTCTCATGTCCCCACAGCTCTGCTCGAAATATGAACAGATGACGATTCAGACATGTTAACTATGTTTGCAATCATTTTGCTGCCGAGGTCACAGTTTACACTGCGATTTGGGGTTTGTTATCTTCAACTTTGATATACAATGCTTGGTCATTTCCCTGCTGTCAGGAAATTCCTTTCGGCATTCTTTCATTGAAAGGGGACATGGGGTTTGGGTGCGAGAGAGAGTTTGCTTTTGATGTTTGTGTGTTTTTGTCTGTGAATAAAAGATAGAAAGAGTGTGGAGAGGGAGAGAAAGAGAGAGGAAAATGCAAAGTTTGTTCTACCCTGCTGGTGTGTGCCTGAAATGTGTATCTGCCTGTGTGTCTATGGGTGTGTGTAGACGGGGCGGGTGTGAGAGACAGTGATGGGGTTGAACGTGTTTGATGTACTGTGATGATAACTCTGTCCGGTATGTGCTTGCTTTCATGGGAACTCCTTGCCCTGGGGAAATGGCCAATAAGCTCCTGTTTAAAGGGCCACTTTATCGCATGTTGTTTTCCCCCTTTATGTTTCCCACATCCTGTTAGCCTCTACCTTTCTACCCTCACTGTACTACAGTATGTCCCCACTAGTTTGGATAGTTGATCCCTTAATTAACTGTTTAATCATTTAATTACACATTGGCTGACTCAATCGTCTCTAATGGAAGGAGATCTTTATCGTGCTTTGTTGTTTTTACAAAAAACGGTGGAAATTCATAACCTTTTGGATGAGTGTACCATGTCTTGTTTACAAGAGGGTCTTTGTCGGCAATAATGAAATATAAGCGCAATTAGAAGAAAAAAAAGATTGCTATTCAATTAATATCAAACTATTAAGGCATTAAGAGAGCAGGAGCTCAGCCAAAGCTGTTAAAAAAAGTACAAAAATAATGAATATATCTGCCCATTGTTTTGGCAAAGCTCCAAATGTAGTGTGTTCCTACTTGTTACACGTCATCGCCAAGTTTCGTCAAAATCGAAATAAAATATTATGTAACATGCAGACAAACGAAGCAATAAACCGTACGTGCACACACATGCATGCATACATACAGTTCTTACATGCATACAGACAGTTCTTACATGCATACAGACAGTTCTTACATGCGTACAGACAGTTCTTACATGCATACAGACAGTTCTTACATGCATACAGACAGTTCTTACATGCATACAGACAGTTCTTACATGCGTACAGACAGTTCTTACATGCATACAGACAGTGCATACATTACATAACATACAAACACTTAATGACACACAGTACATGACATATACAGACAGAGACTCCTTTAGTTTTGGTTAGATGAGTTTCATCTCAAACATAAATATTTTTGTTTCAGTTTGTTATTGGGTGTGGAGTTTGACGTGTTAGTCATGTGCATGATAACGATTTTTCTCTGGAAGTGTCTGCGTCTGGGGAATGCTGCTGAACTGGAATTCTCCTCCAGTCGCCTCTTAGCAGTTGGTCTGATATCAGCCCATTGTGTTTTTAATTTGAGCGACAGCCAGGAGCATTGCACGTCAGACTCATTTGCAATGAGCCTAGAGAGACAACAGGCCTGACGTGACGTGTAATGGCCGCCTTTTAAAAAAGAGATAAAAGCCTCAGCGAGCCGCTCGACGAGCGGTCACTGTGGGCTTTGCTCATTAAAATTAGACTTGCTGCTGGCACTTTGGTGGAGCCTGTCTGGCAGCGACGAACACATTTCAGGGGACAGGATAGACATGTGTGGTCCTTGTGGGTAGCTCGATACCTCAGAGTGCTGTAACCCAAGCCATAGCAATGGCCCTTGAACGTCCCACATGCTCAGTTGTAAAGTAATATGTGTTGAGTTGTAAACTATTATGCAAAGTGAGTTAATACCCTGAACCAGACTGCACTTCTTCCTTTCCATTTACTGCATCATAACTCTCCACGGACAGCCGCATTCCTCCGCTTCAGCTTCTGTTGTTGGTATGCATTAGCTTGCTCTCCTCCTGTCTTTTCAGCTAGCTGCTTAATCTTAAATAGTGACTAAGGCTTTATTGCCCTCAGTAATTAGTAGACTAACCCCGTCTCTAGAAGTTGGCACCAGGGTGACTTTAGGCTGGCAGGTGTCTTAATTAAACAGCTCCAATCCGTTGAGAGATCATGGGCTGCCAGAGGTCAAATGAGCTATCATACCCAGATGGAGAGTGAGAAATTACGATAAAGTTGTCATCAGAAAGACACAATCCCATGATGTGAATGAGTAACAGGATTGCAGGGATTTTGGCATGTAAGAGGAAGCCTGCTGCAGATTCATATCACACTACGGGACAATTTCAAACGGTCTTTTATCACCCTCTCTGAATGGGTGACTGGCTATGCACTGAGTAACACTGTTGCCTGTGCTGATGATAATCACAATCATAGTTGTGGATATTTATGAGCCTTTTGTTGCAGATGTGTGGTAGTCACTTCAGGCCGACAATCCCTCTGTGTATGAATTATTCACACTCAACCGGCCCATAGTTCATCATCCATATTTAATGTTTGGAATCGCATACTCCTAACGGCAGCTTTCTGACCACTAATGGAGCCGTTGAACACAAGTTAAGTCACAAGACGCTGATTAGCGTGCACTTTGCCATTGATGAAGTGTAATTGTTGACCAGGCCAGCTAGATAGTCTTTGAGGGCTATTTTAATGTCAAAGTTTAGCCCATAGCAGAGATGAAGCTTTTCTGGTGGTTGCTTTCCTTTCACAGGTTTTGGGAAATCCCTATACGGGTACAAGCTGTGCTGCCAGACTTCACTACAGAGTTTGAATGAACATTGCCCAATTAATTACCTCAGGTCACTTTGGCAAGCAGCTGTGGAAAAATACCATTTCAAGACATTTGTACTTCATATTACTGGAAACATCCGCACCAATCATTGAAATCTACTCACATTATGTTTCCTTTAATGTGAGCAGTATTTTGATGTTTGCTCAAAATGCATTAGCAGAAGTTTTGCAGGCAATCAGCACTTCACATTCTCAAGGGTAATACCATGCCTCTGTATGTATTACCAGTTGTTTGCTTTACAAGAAAGAGCTGTTGAGTCAATAACAACTCTTAGTGGAATTTAAAGCATTTTAAATCCATCCACTCCAGTTTACACACACTTTTAGACATTCCTACTAAGCTGTAAAGAATTCCTGTAAGCTCACGTCTTAAATGTTGGTTCGTCTTGTTCCTGAAAAATAGAGGGGACCCACTGAATTCTGCTATCTTAATGTATCTCATCTCACACATTTTTTATTTTAGTTGCATTTTCTTAAGATAGTTAAATATGGCAGCATCATCACACTGATTCAAAATACTAATGCAATGTTTCTTTGTGTTTTGCAGGGTTTACTTGAAGGTATTCACTCAAAAACAGCATCGTTTCCAAAAAGCTTGAGGAAAAAGTCCCAGTTTAGTGTCTGTTTCTAACAGTGGATATAAAGAAAATGTAGGACATGGTGAGGAGGAAAGAGAAGACGGAAACTGTGCTCTAACAGCTGTGGGCTCACGTTCATGTTTCATCTGTAAATCAACGTATTAAAGGAGACAAGCAGGCAGACAGACAGGAGGAGAAGTGGGAGGGGGTCACCAGTTCGACCACGGACAGCCTCCAATCACCTGCAGCACTGGAAGAACTGCCTGACAGTCGAGAAGGGTAAGTGGGTGACCCCAGAAAGAGAGAGAGACGGGGACTGACGGTGGAGCGAAGGTTTGGAGGAGGCGGAGGTGGAGGAGGAGTGGGAAAGGCCATTCTCCATGGCTACTGACCCAGGAGAGCCCACAGGCACCGAGGACTCCTCGGGGAAACCTGATGGGCAGAAGGAGGAGGACACAGAGCAGGAGGGCAAGGCCAACCAACAGAGGGAGAGGACACACAGCACCCCCGCCGACTTCCCCTCCTCCAGCACTCAGGAGAGGAAAGCAACAGGAGGAGAGGGCGGAGGAAACCGAGGAGGAGGGGGAGGGGAAGCCAGCCAGGAGGGCGAGGAGAACCCAGTCAGACAGATTTTGTTCTCCATGCCATCCTTATCAGCCGACACTGGCCAGAAACGTTTGAGGCGGGAGAAGCGCTTCTTCAGAAAGAGTGTGGAGATTTGTGAGGAGGACGATGAGGTGGAGAGACCCCCAGAGGCGCCCCACAGCGCCCCCCACCTGGAGCTGCGCACCTCAGACTCCATCTTCACCAGCAGTGCCCAGCAGCAAGGGGCTGCCTCCTCCTGTGCTGCCATCGGCAACGACCCGTCCTGCCCCAGCTCCAGCCAGGGGCCGGGCAAGGATGAATCCTCCTCCACACTCGCCCAGAGGGGGAAGGAGAGGGACCGTGAGCTGGAGGAAGAGGCAGAGATGAAGGCTGTGGCCACCTCTCCTGGAGGCAGGTTCCTCAAGTTTGACATTGAACTGGGCAGAGGAGCCTTCAAAACAGTGTATAAAGGCCTGGACACGGAGACCTGGGTGGAGGTGGCTTGGTGTGAACTCCAGGTAAGAGCAACTGTTATCTTTTATTTTCAAATATTGAAAATGAATTATTTTAAATTCTGCATTAGCACGCACAATTCCCTTAAACATACATACAATCCATCCACTTAAAGTAAGTAAATACAACTTTATTTATATAGCACCCTTCTCAACACGAATGTACAAAGTGCTTTACATACAGTACACAATGCACAATGCAGGGCTCGACATTATAAATGGCCCGCTGGCCCGGAAGCACTATTTAGACACCCCGGGCCACTAAAAATATAGCTGTAAAAAAAAGAATTGTCCTGTGGTATTGGTATTTTGACTTGAAATTTAGTTAAATTGTTTCGTTTATCAACGCTACAACATAGCTTTTTGTGAGTCGGTTGTCGTTTTTGGGTGAAAAGCAAACAGCTGTTTGCTGCGGAGCGCAGCGCGAGCAGGCTCCCGTGAGCGCGCTCCTTCACTACAGACTATCGCGCCACCTAACCATTCGCCATTAATGTTTTTAATACCAGCGGTAACCGGCCAAGCGCCGGGCAAAAAACAATCTTCAAATAAAAGAAAGTCACCGGAGGAGTTAAAAAAGAGTGACGGGGAGCATGAGAAGAAGAAGGAGAGAAAGTTTCAGCCAGCTTGATCGATGGAGTTGGCTTCTAGTGGTGCAGTGACGCGTCCTAAAACCCTTTTATCATCTATCGATTAGATTTATGATTCGAGAATTATAAAAGTAGGGTAGACATGTGGAGATTATCCGGCTGAACAAAACGTGCATTTATCAAACAAGTTTGTTTTCCACAGACCTTATTTCCAGCTATTTTCCAAAACCCTGTGGAGAAATCCCATTGCTTTTTGTCGAGGGAACCAGCAGCTTACTTCCTGGTTTTATGACGCGTCACTGCACCTCTCAATATGATGCCAATATAAACAAGGTCTTCTGTCGGCTCTGTCCATCAATGCCGACCTATGCTGACAAGTAAGTGAAGAGTAGACAATATAAAGGGTATTGGCTATAGGGAAATGTCCCAGCAGTTTAGGAGAATGAAGGTTCTAATCTAATCTACTACATAGCCATTACATTTCTAACTCCTAATGACAGAAAGGCAGAAAGCGCATTATACAAATTATAATACTCATAATAATAGCAGACATTTTTTAACAATGACCACAATATAATTATTTTAATAAACCAAATATGAACAATTGAGGAAAATGAGGAAGAACTGATGATTCGAATGTTGTAGTACAAGTAGTAATGTAGTTAGTGCATAAATTACTATTGCAACAAATGTGTTCATTTTCTTCATTATAAGTCGATTTCTTTTGGACGAATGCTCCGGGCCAATGGTTACAATGGTGGGGCCAGTGATAATACAATTCCACCGGCCCGGAGGGGCAGTGGCATTTTACCCTTAATGTCTGTCTACCCCTGTCACAATACACAATACAACTATATCATGTAGAATAAAAGACATAAAACACAGCAAGTAAAAGATAGGATAAAGCAGCAATGAAAAACAGCTACAAACTCACCTCCTCCGAAGCCCCAAATCCGTGTCGGAAAAGGTGAGTCTTTAGCTGCCCCTTAAAGATCTCTACTGAGACAGAGGCTAAAGAATAGAGAGTGTGTAAACAGCCCTGAGAAGTAAATGGAAAAACTGTATGTCATCAATTTATTTAAATGAATGATCTTTTGAGAAATGTAAGCACAACAACGTTGCTCTTTTCAGGTAAATTATATTGTATTTGTCTCTGGAAATCTCGGTGGTTGTCTGCTTGCTGATTTTAACCTGAGGCTGCAGTTGAACGGAGAAACTGGGGGTGGAGAAGCAGGAGCAGGCTGTCAGTAAAAAGGACATAGACACAGCCAGAGTGGAGACTCTGCCTTTTTCTGGGCTGCTTGGCTGCCAGCGCTAATGCTGTGATAGAGTATACGTACTCCAAAACCTCCATCTTCTGCTATAGCTTGATTGTATTTACATTAGTTTGGAAACCTAAAGGAAAATGGTCATTTTAGCATTGCATACATTTGTTTGAGATGAAGTGCGTTTTAATCCGGAAAGGGAGTGTCTCCCACTCTTGAGACATAACAGCTTGAGTGTGAAAAAGTTCTCATATGATGGAAATTGCTTTTTGTACAGAAGCACATTTTTCTTCATTAACAAGCAGTCCCAGTTTGAATGTCAAGCGTTCTTATGTATAAAGTGATTTCCAAATGAAAGTCGCTACTAGGCAGTTTACCAAGCACTATGGGAGCCGGGGCTAAAGTACATGCCCAGTCCACTCTTGTCAGTTGTGTAACATAATGAGGTCTGAAATGGAAAGAGTAATGGTGATAAAGGGAACTCTGAATGAGGATGCATTTTGTGAACACAGAGCAAATATGAAAATGTATAAAGAACACCAAACTTGCTGTAGAAACTCTTTGTAATTGCATTGACATTGCAGTGGAAGGAAATAATGAACATGGGTGGAATGTCTAACACCAGAGCTCTTGTCATCCCTTAGCAGAATGGTAGTCGCTGTATTTATCATGATGAGAAATGATGGTGGGACAGTTGTATGATGGTGTAATCCAAATGCTGTGGGAGACACACTTGTGGAGGAAGAAGAATGCATCCCCTCTGCTCTTGGCCTCACAATAGGAGCAGTGTTATGATAAGCCATCTGATTTGACTGCTAGCTTTGTGCAAGAAAAGTCAGTCATGTGGGTTTTGGAGTCTTATTCCAAATATGAGCCTTTCTAATCTTGAGATTCAAGCAGCAGACCGGCCCCACCATTCACCTTTTCAGTTCTTTACTCCTAAAATCCAGCTTCACGGAAATTGGACTCTGTGTATCTCATAACGCCACAGTCCTTTTAATTCCCATTGAAATACTTGATGTGGGAATTTTTTCAGGAGAAAAAGTTGCCTGTTTCACCCTTTTTAAAGGTCACCTATTATGCAAAAATCCACTTTTTCATGTATTTATATGTAAACATTGTGTCCCCTCTGGTGTAAAGAGATTCTGAAAGGTCAGGAAAAAAAGACCCCCTCTCTTTTTGTCCTTGATCCATTATATAAAGAACCTGTTTGACAAATGGTCCTGATCAGATTTGGCCACTTGTAGATGTCATAAAAAATGTTTGGCTTGTGGTAAACATTAGCCCAATAACTCAACCAAGGTAACCCCACACACACACACACACCACAGCCTTATCACCTGATCCCTCCTAGAGCACCATTGTGTTCTTTTAACCAAATATCTCTCAGAGGGGCGTGGGGAGTGGCTCCTTATTTTCATCCTAAAGTAACAGGACAGAGAATCGAAACTTTGACACAGGGCTGCAACAGAGGGGATTATGGGATGCTAGACAATGACCTCTTTGGTATTTGGATCCAAACACTTCAGAGACATGTTTTGTATATATCTGAGAATTATAATATATGATGGGAAAACAGTAATAATAGGAGACCTTTAATGTTTTAATTCAATTATATTTCTGTGACCAGACGGCATGCTTTCAATGACCCCGCAAAGGCACTGCATTGTATTATCCTTGGCTTACGAGTGTGAGTAATCTGCTCTGTAAAGCTTTTTGAAATGAAGAAGACAGAAGCATAATCTGATTTACTCACCCCATAATTGAATCTGCAAAAATCAATTGTACTCAACAATTGCATTGGGTCAAAGCAATCCATGTAAAAATCATTTTTTTTATGGTTATTTATTTTTGAATGTGGAGGACATTTTCAGCTATCTTGTACTCAGACATACTGACACCAATTTGACACTCTTTGCCACATATGTCGGTCTAAGTTTGGAATTGGTTAGACAGATTGGAGAGACATGCCTTTAACAATATAGAACAGGCTTG